AGCATCTGCAGTTCTTACTATCTCAAGATATTATATTGTTTTCAGAATTGATTCAAGAGAACAGTGTCAGTGCTGTTCCAGTTAGTAATGTTGTGATCCTGCTGTTACTTTCATTTTTGTAACCTTTGAGTTAACAATTATTTACAGTATATATATATAATTAGATGAGAGAAGTGTTGTAGTATTAGCTAATTTTTCAGATGACAAAAATAGGTGGGAATGCAATTGCTGAGGATGACACAACGATGCTGCAGAGGGATATACGAGTGGACAAAAACATGACGAGTGGAATGCTATATGGGAAAATGAAAGGTTATGTACTTTGGGAAAAGGAATAGAAGGATTAAATATTATTTAAATGGAGAAAGTCTGCAGCAACAGAAAACTTTGGGAATCCTCACTTATAAGTTACAAAATGCTAGGATACAAGTCCATCTGGTAACAGAGAAGGCAAATGGAATGTTGGCAAAGGGAATGGAGTATAAAAATAGGGAAGTCTTGCTGAATCTATACAAAGTCTAGTCAGAGGAAATTTATACGGGCATTGGAGGCAGTCTAGAGAAGGTTTAACTAGTTGACCCTAAACATGAAAGTAGTCTCTACTCAGGAGGAGTTGAATGCATTGGGCCTGTACTCAGTGGAGTTTAGAAGAATGGTGGGGGGGTGCAATCTCATTGAAACATAGAAGATTCTTAGGTGACTTGACCAGGTAGATAAGGAGAACTTGTTTCCCTTTGTGGGAGAGTCTAGGACCAGAGGGAATAATCTCAGTATAATGAGGTCTCCTTGTTAGGAGAGAGAGGAGGAATCTCTTCTCTCATCTGTGGATTTCTTTACCACAGAGGATGTAGAGTGTGGGTGGTTAAGTATATCCAAGACAGAGACAGACAGATATTTAATCAGTAAGGGAATCAAGGGTTAAGGGAAAAGGCAGGAAAGTGGAGTTGAGGATTATCAGATCAGCCTGATTTCTTTGAATGGTGGAGCAGATTCAGTAGGCTGAATGGCTTATTTCTGCTCATACATCTTATGGTCAATTTTAAATCTTAGATAAACTACTTTCAAATTTTGAATAACATTTGATTTACTCAAAATGGTAAATGTCATGACCCATGGTCTCATTTAAAAGAGCAGCTGTTGCTTTGTTTCTCTTAATTTAAGAAAATCACAGTTCAGTCTCCCTTTCACTAGCCTCATGCTAATTCTGAGTTTCCTTTCCAATAGCTTCAAATTCACATTCCTCTCATGTTCATTATTGCATTCTTTCTTGACCTCCAATTTCTACACTTCTATCCTTTCTTGCCCCGCAACTACCAATTATGCTAATACAATTTTTGCCTTTTTTGATATTTGATCAGCACAAAATATCCTAACATAGTAATACCAAGTCAAGCAGTTGCCATAATTCTCTACCCTTAGTAGATTGCATTTTTTGCCTTCAAACAAGATTGCTCCGTCTTCCACCATTTCTATTTCCAAACCTGACCAACTACTGGTATTTTGTATGTTATCATCTAGTATTCATAAATAGAAATCCAAGATTTTATTACACATTGAGTTTCAAATGTTTTCCAATAACAAGAGGAGCTACAAGTTGCTCCTTACTTACCTCTAGACTATGAACATTTTGTACAAATTGAAACTTTTTCTAGATCATTTCTGTGGAAATATAATGAAACATCCTATAACATTATAATTCTAATTGATGTTAGAAAATGGACAATGGCAGAAATGGAGAAGTGAAAATCAGAAAAGAGCTGCAGAAAACGTACAAAAATGAAAACAGCAACAAGCATTGTACATTCAAGTTAGAAATATCATGACTAAAGTTAACATTTATTAAAGTAGAGAGGCAATTTTATTGTTACTTCTGTGAACTGGCAGTCATGCTTGTCATAAATTCAACAAAATTGCTAAGGCCTAAATGACACAGCCAATGGAAGTTTAATTGTTGAAAGATGTCAGATTGGGATTTCTGGTTGGCGCAGACGAGTTGGACAGAAGAGTCTCTTTCCAAGCTGTATGACTTTATGACTATGTGGTAAGTTTTCTTCTTTAAATATAATAGTGCCGATGATGCCTCAGGTCATTTATATGTTGCTTTTCCAGGGCCGATTTTCTATTGGTTACTGCGATTTTGACTTGAGACAATGCCATGAAACTACAGTGGACATTTTCCATATCAAGTATACAAAGAATTCATAATTCACAGGTCCTGCTGGACTGGGTATGTTATTACCTTGTTTTGCAATTTATGAAGACGTACCCTTCACTATTGCGAAAAACAATGAAGATCCATGAAGCTAATATTACTTGAATACCTAGCACCAAACGAGCATTTTCTAAACAGAAAGAACTTAAAATATTCACACTGTTTAACTTGGAAAACCTAATGTACCAACAATTTAACAAGATTTCCTGACTGTTTATACATTATATATGTTTAGTGCAACTTTGATAAAAGTTGACAGTTATCACTTACTTATCATGTAGCTCCATGTTGATTCCTGTGCATGGCTGCTGTAAACTGAATAATTTATATTCATCATAATGCAACCTATATTTTAGATCAATACAGGCAGTTTTATTGAGGGAAGAGGGTGGATTTCAATACAATTGGAAATGGGACACATCTTTCAAGTAGCATATCCTTCTTCTAATAGAACAAGTTCAATTTTATATCTACATTCTAGAGTCAACAATACTCAAATCATACTATACGAAAATATCAGGAGCAAAACACTGCAGTGGCTCAAGTTGTATCTAGTACAAATAATGATGGTTCTGGTTGCTGGAGATCAAGTCATCACTGCAGAGGTTCCTTGGGGACAGTGTCCTAACTCAACTATCTCCAACCCTCTCATCAATTACCTGCTTCATCAGAGATCAGAAATGGATGTTCATTAACAATTGAGATTGAGAGTTATCCACTCCCTTCTCAACTTTTGAAGTACTGAAGCTGTCCGTGCTCACATGCAGAAAGACAGGGACAACATTTGAACTTGGGTTGTTAAGATGGTATTCATGCCACCTCCAACAAGAGAAAAATCTGATAATTTCCTCTTGACATTAAATGGTATTACCGTTACTCATTTCTCCACTATCCAAATTCTGGAGATCACCATTGATCAGAAACTAAACTGGACCAGTCACAAATAATGTGCAACAAATAACTCACCCCCTGACTCCCCATTGCCTTTCCACTATTTAAAGGTATAAAATAGAAGTGATGAAACACACTCCACTTGCCTGGATGACTCCTGCTCCACCAACATTCAAGAAGCTTGACACCATCCAGGACAAAGCAGTTCACAGCATTCACTGCTAAATGTGAAATCTGGACCAGAGGAAATGCAACAAACTGCCAAAGCTTCCTCAACAGCATCTTCCAGAATTCTGAATGCACACTCAAGAAGGATAAGGAAGCAGGTGCTGGGAACACCGCCACCTGCAAATTCCCTCTCAAGCCACATATCATCCCTAATTGGAAATACTTCACATTCCATTCATCACTACAAATTTCGTATTTAAACGACAATATAGAAGTATCTACACACTAAGGACTACAGAACATCAAACAGGCCTACCACCACACTCTTAAGGGCAATTAACGCTGGTCTAGTTAACATTACATAAATGAAAATCTAATGTATGTTCATATATTTGGTTCATCATCTTGCATGGATATTGTAATTTAGCAAAGTAAAGATATTGACCATATAAAATTCAGTTGTAAGAAAAGCAATGTAGAGTCTTCAAGAGATTCTTAATTGATCTCTTTTCTGTCCTCCACTCAAAATAACTAACTCTCAAATTTCAGTCAACCTGTTTCCACATGATTCTTGCTCGGATTTTGCAGCAGTAATTAATGTTGAGATTGTCATTGTTCGCACTCATGACTGAAACAGACAGCAATGTCTTGAATCCAGAGGGTGTGCTGTTCAAGTACTTTTCCCAACCTCACCTCCCTCAACCAAGTGAAATCATTGGAAACCAATGATGAGAATTTACAAGCCTTGCTGTAGAAACCCTAGATAATGTTCCATCTTACTGGATGAGGAGTAACTACATTTTTAAATGCCGTATGGAGTTAATAGTTATTGCCAAATCCTCTAGCAGGGCTTTTAGAGGTGAGGCAGTAGCACAGTAATAATATCATTGGACCAATCATGTAGAATCCCAGGTGAATGGTGTGTAGTCATGGGCTCATGGAAGTTGAGGAAATTTGCACTCAATAAAAAAATTCTGGAATAAAGGCTAACCTAATGGAAACCCTGGTAAACAAGATGGGTTTTTTTTTACAACAAAGTCATTTAAGCAGGGAATCTGCCATCCTTATCTGGTCTGGCTTACAAATCATTTCAGACTCACAGCAATGTGGTTAAATCTTAACTGCCATTTAGATAATTAGAGATGGATAATAAATACTGGCCTAGCCGGTGATGACACATCCCATTAAGAAATTTTAAAAAGCTAGTGTTATACTTGGGGAAATGTCAGATTTCTCCACAATGACAAAATTCCCCGATTTAAAACAAATTCTCACTGCCACTGAGTAAAGGGAAAACCACAAAATAGTGTCCTTTGCGGGCAGTTTTCGTTGAGATCTGTAGTAAGTACTTTGGTTCAGGTTGTGTGGGCGGTGGCAAGGTCTTACATTCATAAATGATTCCTCAAGAAAGATGCATTTCAAAGAAAAATATAATTTCACTGTGGGTTCTGTGTTTTCTAAAAAACAGATTGGAATTTAGCTTCTTTATTTCTAAAAAAAAATTAAAACATGTAGCTACTGAGGCATAATGCAATATAGACATGTACAATACAAATGTAGAAAGCCAGAGACAACATTTGAACTTGGGTTGTTAAGATGGTATTATACAATAAGATGGTATATATACAATACAAGTGTGTCCAACTTCCATGATTTTCCAAGTGACCATGAATTAAACTCTTTTGTGGTTTGTGCAATTTAACCAAAACAACCTTAGTTGCCTTCCTAATTTACTTTCTGTATATGGATCTGCTGTCAAATAGTGCATATAAATCTTAGGATGACAAATTAAATCAAATATTTTAAAAATGCATCTAAATCAGTTCTCATGTAGAATGTGCTGGTGTATGTATGTCAAATACAAATCTGTTCAATACAGCATTACAAACGATAATGTCTCATGACATCCCCAAAAGGTTCACAATTGCGCAGACAGAAAATTCTGCACATGCAGACTTTGTGAAACGATCCACCAATTTAAAAAAAGGCAGTGTCCAAATGTGCACAATAAATTTGAGCAAACAGAATGGAATTACATCACTTGCAGTATTGGCAGGAATACTGCACAAGGACAGTTTGCACATGCATACTAAGTACTTTCGTGGTGTCAGCAATCTCATTACAAACGTACATTAAACTAGATTTCATCTAGGGAGGTTCCCACTTTATGAATTCAAATCCAAGCTTCGTGAACTTTCCATCCCACAGTCATTAACATCTCAAGTTCATCCAAATTTTAGTCTCAAGACCATAATTCTGGGGACATAACTATCTTTGATGAACTGAAAATGTACTTGTCCATGTTTCCAAAAGCAACAAATCTAAACTTTGTCCAAATAATAGATAACAACAGTAATACAGCCTAGGCAAATTTTCAGGAATGAAATAGCCTTTGCATGGACATTTATTTGAAAGTATGCTGCAAAATTAGATAAGAAATCTGGATTTAGTGGTAGCCCATGTGATGTCAAGGCCCTGAAATATTCTTACCAAGACAGAATACTCCTTTCAAATGGAGTTATATTCATGGACAAACATGTGCCTTCTTTAATCTAAGAGGAGATCATTATGAATAATTGCAGTTAGAACTTTAAGATTGATGATAGGTTCTAGTCTTGTGAGGTGGACACAATGTGTTAAACTGCTGCTTTGAGTAATCGACCCAAGATACTTCCATTTGTTATTTGTCTAGGCAAGGCTAGTTTCAACTCCTGTTGAGAAATAAAATTTGTGTAAAAGGGTTTTTTTCTCAAATGTCAAGATGTCACAAAAAATTCCAGTGGTCATACATCGATGACTACCAATCTTATAATTGTCAATATGTCTTCCTTCTACTTTGGCCCTTTCATTTTGTTTTCAAATCCTATTCTAGCCAGTTGCCCAATCAGAATCTTATTTAAATTGTTTTAAAATTACCGAGGAACTTTATCATCTTACTTCCTATTTTTGTCCATTTTCTTTTCATAGCCTAAATTGTTAGGTATTTTGTGAGCAAATAAGGAGTATATACATGTGTCCCTGTAATAATGAAAACATTTATGATCAGAATTACGTTATGCAATTGTCTTTATTCTGAATGTTACTTATCTCCCACAAAACTCCTGGACACCAATAACAGCTTGCATGACTATTTTTTTCAAAGTAGATAAATCTTTTTCACAACAGCTCCTCTGATACAAGTTATTTTACTAACAAGACAGTGAATCCTTGAAGGTGAGCGGGTTTCAAATTACTTGTCCAAACTTCACATGCATTGAGTGTTTCTGGCAGCATTGCAAGGCTCAAGGCCAACATAGGCATGCATACTAGTGAACCTGACGAAGAGACTGGCATAGTCATCCTTAATGAGCATGACAACATCGACAAAATCAACACCATTCTTAATGATAGGTCCAAATTTATCACTGTTGGACCTGTCGCTCAGAATGACTGGACAGCCTAATTTAAAAGCAAGCAAAGAAAGTGCTTACTGGACTTGTGCAAGAACAATGAGCTGCCAGGTGACATTTGTGATAAGGTTCTGTACAACATGAACCGGTCAAATAGTTGGGTAAACTGATACAACCAGTTTTGAGCAAGATCTCTGTAAAAGTGAAGGCTTACAGAAAAGATGTTGTTAAACTTGGAAGCGTACAGAAAAGATTTAAGGATGTTGTTACGGTTGGAGGATTTGAGCTATAGGGAGTTTTTTCTCCTGGAGAGTCAGGGCAGAGTGGTGACCTTACAGAGGGTTATAAAATTATGAGGGGCATGGTCCTTTCCCAGGGTAGGGGAGTCCAAAACAAGAGGGCATAGGTTTAAGGTGAGAGAAGATAGATTTAAAAGGGACACAAGAGATAACCTTTTCATGCAGAGGTGATGCATGTATGGAATGAGCTGCCAGAGGAGGTGGAGGAGGCTGGTACAACTACAACATTTAAAAAGCATCTAGATGGGTACATGAATAGGAAGGATTTAGAGCGATAAGGCCAAATACTGATAAATGGGACTAGATCAGTTTAGGATATCTGGTCGGTGCGACAAATTAGACTGCAAGGTCTATATCTGTGCTGTATAACTATGACTCTGTGACCATACAGGACTTGTATATGGATAGGAATGCAGTGTTCATGTGCTTATTTGGCTTAGCTAGCCTACTCACCAATGTACCACTCAAAGAAGCCATTGACATCTGCACTGCAGCACGATATCATGGTGATCTAGATAAGACACTTTAAGTGAATTAATATTTGTTGAACTTATGAACAACACAACTTGTGCAATTGAATCCCTACAGTGCAGAAAGAGTCTGTGCAGAGGGTCGATGTGTCTTACCCAAACCCAGCCCCTACCCTATCCCTATAACCCTACATTTAGCACAGCCAATCCATCTAACCTGCACATCTTTGGACTGTTGAAGTGAACCGGAGTACCCATCAGAAACTCATGCGGACACGGGGAGAACATGCAAACTCCACACAGACAGTCACCCAAGGCTAGAATTGAACCCAGGTCCCTGGCACTGTGAGGCAGGAGTGCTAACCACTGAGCAATCATGCCATGTCAGTTTCATTGATACTGTGTGCCCAAAAAGATGGTGTTGCCATGGGAGCCCCAGTAGGCCCAGCACTTGCAAATACCTTATGTTGGGTTTCATGAGAAACATCTTTTTAATGGAATGATACCTAACCTTATATGCCTCACATAGTGTCGATAGCAGTGATACATTTGCTATATTTGAATCCACAACCACATGGAAGAACTTCCTTAATGAGCTCCACCTTGTGCACAAATTCACATGAAATGTCCTAGTTGCGCAATCAGTCAGGATTTGTTCTCAATTATTGTCTACCACAAACCTATGTTCACTAATTAGTATATGCATTAGGATTCCTACAGTTCTGAGTGCTAAATGATTGACTTTATCTAAACTTCTTAAATAGGGCCAAAACCATTTATTCATTGTGCAAGCTTGATGCAGAAATTGGGTGCAAAGCTATCCTGCAAGAAAATTGTTAACCTGATCAGATCATGTTTTGTGTATTGTACTTGTCGAAGGCCCTAAGGCAGTCACTGTTGGTCCTGAGAAGTGCCCAGTCTACCTCAGATTTTCCTACAAGGGTGTGGTATCTCAAATGGTTGACCAATAGGTGAAACTTGCTGTTTCACTCTATATAGTAGCAGCTAATGGTATTCACCACTAACGGGATGATGCTGCCATCAAGCCAAAAAGACATTCTGCCCATCATATAAATCAGTGATGTGGTATGTGAATTTCAGCACCACTGTGATGTCAGTTAAGATATGTAGGTTGTACATCCCAAAGACTACAAGGTTGTATCAAATAGCATGTCTCTCACTGTCGTCAGCAAGCGAGGTAGCGATCAAAGCCAACTGGCTTACGATCGCAAAACTCACATAGTGCTTAATATTAGATCTGCAATTGGACAACATTTACTGAATGATCCTGAGTATACAAGGAATTACCCTGACAACCAATTTAGAATTGTCAGTCAGACTCTCAGTGAGGCATACTTGCATGTATTAGAAGCTACATACATTAATGCACAGGGCCAGGGCCCTGTTCTTTGTAGGCAGAAAGAATATTTATGAACATTGCTAACACAGTGTGGAGCTGGAGGAACACAGCAGGCCAGGCACCTTTTATGTACATTGCACCTGTTTCACTTAAACAAGTAAATGCCTATCACGTATTTTGTTGGTTTTTCAGGAAAATAAAATTTAACAAAGCCTAGGTATTAACTGATAGCAAGTTTAATGGGTATATTCTCCATGGCAACACTGTTACCAACAATTTACCAACCAATCTGCACTTTCTTCTCATGTAACAGAAATCTTCATTTCCCCTTGAAATTATAATCTTGCAAAACGTCCTGATTAACGCCAGGTGAAGAGTTTTTATGAAATTTGCTTTTTTTTTTACAGAAATACTAATTTTGTGTACTACCAAGTTATATTATTAAGAAAAAAATTCTAAATAATCTGGAAAATCAAATCCTGCACACTTTTTGTTTAAATGTTTCATATTTGCAAATTATCTGAATAAATGCAACGTGGCAAGAGCCATTGTTCACATAATGGAAATTCTGCTAAGTTGTCCTGTTTCCTTTGTTCCCACCCATAGTTAATGTATTGATTTATGCTAATAATGTTATTTCGAAGTATATTAATTAACTCACTACAAATCACGAAAATTACTTGTTTTTAAATCATATCTAAGTAAATCTTCAGGATAAGTATAATACAGAGCTGAAAGGCAGAATAAAATATTTGGGACCATTTGTTTTAAAATTAAATGCCAGTGGTTAAATTTCTTGAAATACAGAATGAAACAGCACAATACCTAATCACCGAGACAAACCTACAGAAATGAATGACAGGTACTATGAGAAATTTCCAGCTTTAATCCAGAGTTTTGTTATTTTTAAACATGCTGTAAATTCAGACATTGTGCCCTAAATCAACTGCATCCCCAATAAAATTATTCAAAAGCATTTTGAATGCTTCAAAAGAGAGCATGATATAAATTTGGAACTATGAATTTAGAGGACTGGAGAATGGGACTAGCTGGGTAGCTTTTTCGGGAGCCAATACAGCCACAATGGACCGAATGGCCTCCTTCTGTACCGTAAAATTTTATGATTCTGTAAGAAGGCTTGATACCAAACAATTATGCCATTAAATAAATCCTTTAAGGTTTGGTTTGTGTACGTTAACTGTTATGTACAGTATGCCTCAATGTCCAACAAAATATTTGATATTGAATTATCAAAGATAATTTTCCAAAAACGGAACATTAAATCAGGGCAATATTAGAATATTCCAAACTGTATATTTCTTCTCAAAAATGTGAACATTAAAAATCCAGTGCAAAACACTATCTACACAGTCATAAAATAACTCCAAAAGTCAGGGTGCAACTAAATTGTTTGAACTAGTGGCAGAGTCTGCCAGTGTTATGATTAAATAAACTACTGGCACACATTTTGCATTGTTAGACTTTCATTGTTTAAAGCAATAAACACAGCATAGATAAATGCAGCAATCCTGAACCTAAAGTGCCATACAGTTTAGGGGATGAGAGGGAAGCTTAAGGCTTTTACTGTTACACAGTAAGAAACATGTAATAATTAACAGTTTATACGACATGTTTTACTTATACCGGACTAAACGTAGCACCTTATAATTCATAAAATCTGAGGAATCAGGCTGTAATGAATCCACATGGAATCCATCACTCATTGCTGTTTTTAACACTTCCTCTACAAATATCTGAAAATTGTTAACTTGCTCATTTGTAGGTACAATCCATAATCTTTTTAAATTTTGTCTTGTATATTCATCTTCAGGCAGCACAGCCACATGTCCAACCCATTGTAGTGTCAAATGATATGGATCCTTTTTCTCATAGCCACTTGGTAAAAGTTTACCATTCACAAAGTAACAAAACTTTGAGCTCAAATGTTTCAAAAATTCAGCTGACGTGCAAAATATATTTGCATCAAAGACCTCTGTGCTACACGAGGTTAGATTGTACATCTGTGGGGCTGGTTTAACTGTAAAGTAAACAGTCTGCAATCTCTGATCAAGAGTAATGTTCAGCATTGCATTCCTTTCTGCTTTGGCATTTTCAGATTCTCTCTCCTGCAAAGCATGTATCAAAGGCTGGATCTGGTAAAAATCAGCTTCTCTTTTCAAGAGCCCCACTTCTTGAAAATCATCTGGGAGGTCGAGATTTGATGTGCGCAGAAAATTTAGAATGTATCGAAATATTTTCCCATCTCTGTCAATGAAGAAGTTACCATGCTGATCACTAGTTGAGGGCATTTTCCCGCTGAACATGATACCCAACATCGAGTCTGGATAACGTGTTAATGTTGCCAGAGAACTGGTGTATAGCTTTCCTCCTACATTTAATGTTATAGGGTCAGACATACTGATTTGCCACTGTGCAGTATCTTAATTCGTTACAATCTATTTTATAGGAAAAAGACAAAAACAGAAAAAGAAATTTTATGAAAGCAAAGCAGTGTTTAATGCAAAGATCAAAAACATTCTATTAAACAGAAATGCTTCTGGTATCCCTTCACAATCACCCCTTTGATGTTAGCATGTTGCAACTTCTTAGCCATAGCCTCCTTTTTTCCTGATCAAGCATTTTATGTAACACTTTTGTAATTATATTAGTTTTCCAATGCACCAGGAAAGAAATGGGACCGGCTTTGTTTGAGGGGTGTTATAATACTTGATTTGAAATATGGTTAGTAAGTGAAGACTTCTTCTAATCTTACATACACTAATAGTCGAACTGAAAATGGATACAATAGAAGCCCCAGAAATCCTCTTACTTTATTTACTTTTAATGAGTTTGTAAATAGTGTGCTTGCTCTATGGAATACATTTTGAAAACATGGAATTTTACTTATTTTATGCTGTACAGTGAAAGAATAACAGTGTTTGTTGATGCACTGCCAATTGGAAATGCAGGTTTTATGCCACTTTTTATCTGTATGTCATTTTTCTCACACAAATAATTGAATATTGACAATCCTGATAACTTGCATTAGTCTAAAGGTATTATGGAACTGTTTGTTATGAAATTTAGAGTAGTCCTGATCAATGTCTAACCCACTGCCCTTCAGCCAATACCAAAAATGTTGGATTAATTGCATTTGGTTGTTGATTATTGTGGAGCCATGTGTGCAAATTAGCTATTGTGTTTGCCTACTTAGCAGAGACAAAGCAATTAAATAGTTATGAAGCATTTTGTAATGTCTTGAGGATTGATAAAGTGTTACAGTATATAAATCCACCCAATGCTACATGCCTTTAAAGAAAATATCATGAAATCATAGCTCAAATCTTCTGGTCACTGAATTGTTAGAGACCAGATTATGACCCAAGATATACATAACAGATGTGGAAATCCTGGCATATTGGCCTACTTGGAAGTTATACTTTTGTAGCTTTTGATGGGCAATTCGCCTGCTCCCCAGACACCTCCATAGATGTTGCCAACAATACTGACTCAATACAGTTTTAGAGAGGAAGCATAGTGTATGAGGTTAGGAAAACACTAACTGCTTAACAAGATCATCTACCAACTCAACAGTCACATTAAGTATTTTCAACAGGAAATAATTTCCTTCTGTTGTATCATGGATTTTGTGAAATTCTCCATTAGATCATTGTGTGAAATCCGGAGGAGAATAGCACAAACTCAGTTAGTTTGTATCGACGGACAGAATAAGAATTAATCATTTTGATTCCTGGCTGCTGGTCTGGAGCCTCGATTTCATGCCTAACCCAATGGCTAATTGTGCAGTATCATAACTTCAAAAATCAAAAACACAGATTTGTATATCATAGTATCCCAATCGTTGTAAAACAGGGCAGCACCTTGAAAATGCCACACCCACAAAATAACCTTCTCGTTAGGTTTGTGCAAGTCTTCATCAGAATGGAAGAATAAATACTCAAGAAATAGTGAGCTCACATCCAATGAAGATGACTTTACTTTAAGGAGCAATTCATCTTAAAGGATATCTGGAAGGGGATGAATTTGAGAAAAGTACAGTTTATACCGCCATTTTTAAAATATGACTAGCATACTGGCAATCTGACCGTATTTTTGTTTACATTGTAATAGTTTGCTTCCGAGGAAACCAGATATTTCAAGTAACTGCAGGCAACTGGTGCTGCTCTGGTAATTTGGAGAGTTACCACAACATATTGTTTGATTCTGTCATATTGAAGTCAGTTTTCCGATCAGCCAGAAGCTGATTAAGGCACAGAAACTGGAAATATTAACCCATAACCAGGCTTACACTAGCAACAGCAGCTTTAGAAGCAGCTTTTTGGCATCTAACCTAGCAGCTTGCTAAAATTATTAAGAAAAGGCCTAGGAGCAGATTTCTATTCAATGCTTTCATGAAAATGTGGGGGGGGGGGGGGGGGGGGGGGAAAAAAAAAAAAAGAAAAATATATTTCTGCATTGTCTTGTTTGTTTCAATTTCTTTGTCCCTTTCCCATAATTCAGGGTACATTCATGGAATTTCACAATCTTTTTTAAAAACACCTTATTTCTTCATTCTGGAATAACATTTGCTTCGTACTTTTCAAATAACATCAGAACCTCAATATGAGATAAATATCAAGATATTAGTACAGTGCTGGGGATTTTTTTCATGTGAATCTGAAGAGTAAAATCTCTTCAATGAACTTCTGTATTGGAATTCTAAATGTGGTTATAAAGGAAGATTGGATTGATTGGATTGATAGGAGGATGCTGCGATGAGAGAGGAGGCTCCTTTAGAACACAAACATGAACACAGAATTGTTGGGCCAGGTTACTGGTTTTTGTTTTATGAATAATTCGTTATTTCAAGGGACATGCATGCCATTGCTGGGCCAGCATTAATTGCCCATCGTTAATTACCCTGGAGAAGATGCCTTCTTGAACCACAGCTTCCTTTAGTGATAGGGACACCCACACTGCTGCTAAGGAGCAAATTCCAGGATTTTGACTCAGCAACAGTGAAGGGACAGTGATATACTTCCAAGTCAGGAATGGTGTGTGGCTTGGAAGGGACCTTGTAGGTAGTGGTTTTGCCACATATATCTTAAGCCCTTGTCCTTCCAGGTGATAGAGATCATGAGTTTGGAAGGTGTGATCGGCCAAACCTTGGTCATTTACCGCAGAACATTTTTTTGATGACATACACTGCTGCCACTGCGTGATTGTGAGGGAATGAATATCGAACATGGTGCCAATCATTAGAGCTGCACTCATTCAGACAAGTGGCAAGTATTCCATCACGTTCCTGAAGTGCTTTGTGGACAGGCATGATGATGGTGGTGGTGGATGGGTGGGGGAGGTAGGAAGTGTATTACATGCTGCAGAATGCCTGGCTTCTGACTTGCTCTTGTAGAGACGGTATTTACATGCCTGGTCAACTTCAGTTTCTAGTCAATGATGATGCTTGGCCCAGATGTGCCTAGGTTGCTCAAACCTGTGAGTGATTTCCATTTGTGCTGATCCCTGTTCAGACAGAATTTCACATTGGCACTGGGTTCCTCTTGGAGACATGTGCCCCACAATTTGAGCAGTCTGGACGACATTGCCGACTTGTCCTTCGTGTCAGGGTTTCTTGTATGGGTTTCCACTGCACGTCCTTCACTTCCTTCCTTTTTGCCGTCTGGGCACACTGTGACATGCCTCACACCATCCAGCATTGACAGAGACCTCTAGTGGTGTACAACTGCTATCCATTACGGATGTCTTGCACATCGCAAACCATATTTAACCTTAGATAAGGTTGGTACTAGACTTCCAGGCTGCCTTCAATTTTTACGGCCTCAAGGAATCCATTAGCCATGTTTAAATGCACGGCTGTAGGCTATGGTTCTTCCTTAAAGGGGATTTTACTATATATTTTCTGCACTTTTGTCCCACACTCCTGATCTTTGAGGGCTCGATGTAGAGTCAAAGAGTCATTCAGCATGGAATCAGACCTTTCAGTCCAACTAGTCCATGCCGACTATGTTACCAAACTAAACTAGTCCCACCTGCCTACGTTTGGCCCATATCAGTCCAAACTTGTCCTATTATGTACTTATCCAAATGTTTTTTAAATAGTGTAACTGTACCTGCATCCACCAATTCCTCTGGCAGTTCATTCCACACACTAACCACTCTCTGTATAAAAGAGCTAACCCTCATATCCTTTTTAAAATCTTTCTCCTCTCACCTTAAAAATATGCCCCCTAGTTTTGAACTCCCCCACCTTACGGAAAAGACCATTGCTATTTACCTTATCCATGCCCCTCATGATTTTATAAGCCTTTATAAGGTTACCCCCTCAACCTCTTACACTCCAGTGAAGAAAGTTCCTGCCTCTCCTTATAACTCCATTCCCAGCAACATCCTGGTAAATCTTTTCTGAATCCTCTCCAGTTTAATAATATTCTTCCTATAACAGCATGACCAAAAGAGGCCTCACCAATGTCCTGTACATATTCACTGACTGTAGCCATGCAGGAAGTCATTGAAAATCACCCTGACTCCATTAGATCTCCCTAGTTATGTGTTGTTACTATTTAAGTTGCCCGCACCCAGCCCTCTTCCTGTGGCAACATGCCTTTTTGCTATTTGAAGTCATAGAGATATACAGCACAGAAACAGACCCTTTAGTCCAACTCATTCATGCCGACCAGATATCCTAAATAAATCTAGTACCATTTGCCAGCATTTGGCCCATATCCCTCTAAACCCTTCCTATTCATATATTCATCGAAGTGCATTTTAAATGTTGTAATTGTACCAGCCTCCACCATTTCTTCTGGCAGCTCATTCCATATACACACCACCCTCTGCATTAAAAAGTTGCCCGTTAGGTCCCTTTTAAATTTTTCCCCTCTCACCTTAAATCTATGCCCCCTAGATTTGAACTCCCCCACCCCAGGGAGAAGAGCTTGTCTATTTACCCTATCCATGCCCTTCATGATTTTATAAACCTCTCTAAGGTCACCCCTCAGCCTCTGACACTCCAGGGAAAATAGCCCCAGCCCATTCAGCCTCTCTCTATAGCTCAAAACCTCCAATCCTGGCATCATCCTTGTAATTTTTTTTCTGAACCCTTTCAGGTTTCACAACATCCTTCCTTTAGCAGAGAGACCAGAACTACACGCAATATTCTAAAGTGGCCTAACCAATGTCCTGTACAGCCACAAAATGACCTTCCTACTCCTATGCTCAATGCACTAACCAATAAAAGAAAGCATACCAAACACCTTCTTCGCTATTCTATCTACCTGCAGCTCCACTTTCAAGGAACTATGAACCTGCACTCCAGGGTCTCTTTGTTCAGCAACACTTCTACTTCTCTTCCTAATGTCTCCTGTGCTGCATTCATGAACCTGGCAGAGTCTCTGTGGTCTAATGTCAGCAGACACTTGCCAATATAACCAGGTAGCAATCTATTGTGATTAGGTGCAGCTTTCTGTGAAAAAGGCAGTCTGCCTGTAAACCATACAGTCTGGTCTGCTCCTACCCAAGATCATGGAAGGGGTTGCCTATCTGACTGCCTGCCTCTCTTCCTAGACCTTTTGTTAATGATTTTAGCAAGCTACTAGGTTATGTCTGTGCCCAGATGTTATTGGACAGGGAGCATACAGTGTCAATCAGTACACTTTAGGCCTTCCACAGTCAATGGTCACTGGAGGAGTGCATTACTGTGCTGCTTCATCATCATTCAATATACTTTAATTTGAATTTATAAGTTTCCTTTTTGATTTTTGTTAGAGTGCTGTTAGACTAATTTTGTTTAAATTGTTTATTTTGATATAATATATAGTAGAGAAGAGGACTTGGGGCAGCCAGCTACCCCAATCATCTGCTGTCAGTGGTTGATATGACATCTAACTTAACAGCACTGTGCACGTACCTACAGCATGTAGAGTTTAGCAATACAAGGCAGCAATACTCACTACCTGTTTAAGAGCAATTAGGGCAGCATCACTCACATATCATGATAAAAAAAAACAAGAACAAGAATTCAGTGAAATATTCTCGCAGCAGCAGTTACCATACGTGTGAAGCACTGGAACATTCTTCACTTCATTTTTCTAAGTTTTCTTACAAAAAAATGACAAACAGGGATTTTTGCATTAGAGGTATAAATTATCTAGTTTATTTGGATTTCACAAGCCTATCAAATTCTTCGACCAATAAAATGCCACAATGAAAAGCTGGCTCAAATATGTTGACACCAAATATAAGTCTAATTTCTGAAGTTTACTGTGTAGTTTTTGCTTCCCAATAGCTAAATTGTCTGTCAGTTAAATATTAAATATATTGCAAACTTTAACACTGCAATAACATAACAGCCGTGGCCCCATGGTTTGTCCTAAGAACCCACTATAGAGCAGAAGCATTTTTTTTTGCTCGCCACTCTAGTACTGAGAGAAAATAAAATGTAAAGCAGATTTTCTTTTTCAAAAATCCTATCCTAAATGAACGCACTTGATCCAAAAGATTGTGGCCCCGCAATATGAAACTGCATTGTTTCAAAATGCTTCCTTCAATTACAGCTCCCCTCCCCCTAACTTCCTCCCTCTGGAAAAGCCATTCGCTCCAAACATGAGGCACATGTGAAATGCAAGCAAACGCTGCTGGACCAAAGGCTGCATTGTGTACAGTGCACCGCACTCACCTTGTATCAACCCAACTTCATGACAAACCCGTGGTGGAAGCTGGTAGCGCAGTAACTTCTGGACCTTGTGGTTTTATTACCCGTTGTTTATGTGGCGTTGCCAAACCCTCACCAGACAGTGAACTACAACGCCTATAATGCACCGCTACACACATGCGCGGTGTTCTTACTCCAGAGGAGGTTATTCTGAGCAGCGTTGTAGTTGGCTATTTGTTCGGTTTTGGATATCGGCAGAATTAAAATTACTGAGAAATGGATACTGTAGCATATCCAAAAAACTCAGTGTCGAAATACTGCCCCGGTATAATATTTGCACAACTACCATTGTGTTAGCTCCCAATGGATAATTGGATTTTATTGCCTTTTCGTGATAATACGCTCAAAATTCTTTTCATACGATTTTAATACGCATAGTTGACATCTATAAATTGCAGCAAAGGTTTGGTGCATCGATATTTCAAAGTAGCAATCTGAGTATTTTTGCAATGTGCCCTGTAGTTGTGAAACAATTTATGAAATTATGACACAAAAACATAAATTGCTGGAGAAACTCAGCAGAAACTCAATGTCTGTGGAAAGAAAACAGAATTGAAGTTTCCAGTCTGGTGTCCCTCTTCACACCTGCTGAGTTTGTCCGAAAATTTCTGTTTATCCCACAGAGTTCCAGTGTTCGCACTTCTTTGTTTTATATTGCAAAGTTATGACCCTATATCTTGAATATTTTTGAATCACTTACACATGACACTTAAAGTTGTTAATTTGTCATGGGAAATATAGATCTGCTATAACAGAACCATTGCCAAGAAAACATGTTGAATCTTTATCAAAATCTTCATGTTTGAATAGTTTTCTGTGGCATTTTGCACCCACATCTAAGAGCTTGGTGAAATAACTCCACAGACACCAGTGTCCAGTCACCCTTTATTTACACTCAGCAACTCCCACACACTGATGTACCTCTCTCAGAGTGAGCAGAGCTGCTGAGACTCCTGTTTATATCTGTCAGCCAGAACTCCCTGATTGGACCGGATTAACAGCACCAATCAGGGAATTCGTATTCAATGAGATCCACCTGGCTAACCTTGTTATAATCACCATATCCCTCCCCTCTAAGTCTGAGGACATAGGCCAGTTCTTTTCTGTAGCTCCTTCTGGGGTATTTTAGCACCAGGTCAGGTTCCTCCAACTCTCTCTGTGTTACAGGTGGCGCGTAACACACAGTAACTTGCCTCTTGTGCCCGGAAGGTTTTGGAATAAATTCATTCTCTTCTTCAGGCAGCAAAGATATCAAGGAGGTGACATCTGCCATGTCCGCCTCGGATTCAGAGGTATTTTCAACACTTGATGGAGAGGGAGAAACCACAGGTTCTGGAATGGTTGAAAGGCTGTCGAGGGGCTGAGCACGGTTTGCTCCCACACAGTTTGTGAGATTGCAGCTTTCATATGGTCCACATGCTTGCTCAGGACCATCACAACTACCTGAAACTTATATATCACTGGACCTGACCTCGCATTGACTGTGCCTTTTACCCATGCAGGGCCATTCCTATGGTTCCTACACCAAGCATTGTCCCCTGAAGTAAACTGTCTCTCTTGCTTAGCGGAGTCTTATGTCCAGCATTGGCATTCCTGATGCCATTTCACCAGCCCCCCCAGGTCTGGGAAGATCAGATTTAACCTGATGCGGTCTTCTCCTCATTAGCAACTCTGCTGAAGCTATCCCTGTGGTTGCATGAGGGGTGGTCTTGTAATCAAATAGGAACTGGACTAGTTTGGTATCTAGTGAAGTTGTAGGCTGTTTCTTTAAGCCTGCCTTCAAAGTTTGGACTGCTCTTTCTTCCAGACTATTGGATGATGGATGGTATGAAGCTGTCCTTATATGTCGAATACCATTCGACTTTACGAAATACACAAATTCCCTGTTGGTAAATGATGGAACATTATCTCTGACCAACACTACCGGGAGTCCGTATATTGCAAAAGATGCACACAGTTTTGCTATTGTCATCCCCATGTTTGATGAATGAACTCTCTGCATGTCCAGCCACTTGGACTGGGTGCCCACAAGGACTAATAACATTGAGCCCACGAGAGGACCTACATAGTCGACATGTAACTGAGTCCAGGATTTAAGCCATTCCCAGGAATGTGGAGTAGATGCTAGTGGTAATTTTTGTCCCTATTGGCACTCTGGCTACTGCCCCACCAATACGGCTATGTCTGCATTCAATCCTAGCCTCCAGACATAACTTCTCACTGACGTTTTCACTTTGGAAACCATGGATGACTCTGGTGGAGTTCAGCTAATATCTGGTGGAGACCTTTGCTCAGGACAATAACTCTTGCTCCCCATAATAATATGCCGTCTTCTACTGTGATCTGGTCTTGTTGGGTCCGTAAAGATTTCAATTCTGGTTGTGATGGCCCTTTGGTTTCCCCCATCACCACCAGCTGTTTCAGTTTTGCCCAGATGGATGTGGATGTGGATGTGGGTGTAAAACTGCACAACAAAACTATTCAAACATGAAGATTTTTGTAAGCAAATTAATTGTTCCAAACCAGATATAGATGGACTTTCCAGGATATGCATTCTCCTGGATACTGTCCTATGAGTTCTCTTACTCAGTTTGGGTTCAGTGGGATTCTTGCAGTCTCAAGTCCACATACCAGCAGCAACTAGAATGGCTTGCTGGATCAGATCCTAAAGAAACTTTTAACCGTTTGGATGAAGCTTGGCTTTGTTTTGGGGTTTTGCTGTGGGCTGACCAACAGTCCCTCTGTTCAGGATATGCCCTGACTTAGGCTATGCAATTGCCTTCATTCAAGTGGTGTTTCCCCAAGCTCAGTTGGACTGGTGAGGGTGTCCACTTCCATCAGAATACCCTTCAACTCATATGCTCTATTTGCCGCATTCGACAATGATAAAGCCAGTTGTAGTGCCTGTTTGAAGTTCAGCTGGGCTTCAGCTAATAGGCGCTTTTGCATGGTTACATCATTAATCCCACATACCAAACGGTGCCTCAACATCTCATCAGGGATTGAACCAAAGTCACATGCTTCTGCCAGTCATCCTAACCTAGTCAAAAATCCCAAACAGATTCCCCTAGTTCTCAAATTGCCGAATAAAACTGATAGTGTCTCAGAAATACAGGAGGCTTGGGGTCATAATATTCCTTAACTAAGTCCAGAAACTTTTGGAAGATTTTAGTATCTAGTGTCTCACAGAAAGTTATGCACTAATAACCAAAAAAGCTACAGGTCCACAAGCTGTCAGGTGAATTACTCATTGCTTTTTCTCTGTCCCAATGCAATTTGGCTGGAAAAAAATAATGCCTTCTTCCATCATATTGGGCCTAGTCTTTGACGGCAGGATCAAATTAGTCAAGCTTCCCAAATAATAGCATGATGCCAGAATTAAGAAAGGTGGTAAGGAACAGCCAGGGAACTATAGACTTGTGAATGTGACATCTGTGGTGGGCACGTTGTTGGAGGGAACTCTGAGGGAAAGGATTTACATGTATTTAGAAAGGCAAAGACAGTTTAAGGATAGCAAACATGGCATTGTGCATGGGAAATCGTGTCGCACTAACTTGATTGAGTTTTTTGAAGAAGTGACCAAGAGGATTGATGAAGGCACAGTGGTGGACATTGTCTATATGGACTACAGTAAGGTGTTCAACAAGGTTCTGCACAGAAGACTGGTTAACAAGGTTAAATCACATGGAATACAGGGAGAACTAGCTACTTGAGTACAAAATTTTCTCAAAAGTAAGAGACAGAAGATGGTGGTGGTGGTGGAGGGTTGGTTTTTGGACTGGAGGGCTGTGACCAACGGTGTGCTACAAGGATCGGTGTTGGGTCCACTGCCTTTTGTCAATAATATAAATGATTTGGATGTGAATATAAGCAGTATGGCTAGTAAATTTGTGAATGACACCAAAATTGGTGATGTAGCGGACAGCAAAGAAGGTTACGTCAGAGTACAATGGGACCTTGACTAGATGGGCCAATAGGCAGATGGAGTTTAATCTAGATAAATGTGAGGTGCTACATTTTGGTAGGGCAAATCAGGGCAGGACTTATACACCTTAATGGTAAGATCCTGGAGAGTATTGCCAAACAAAGAGACCTTGGACTGCAGGTTCATACTTCCTTGAAAGTGGACTCACGGGGAGACAGGATAGTGAAGAAGGCATTTGGTACACTTGCCTTTCTGGGTCAGTGCATTGACTATAGGAATTGAGAGGTCATGTTGCGACTGTACAAGATATTGGTTAGGTCACTTTTGGAATACTGCATGCAGTTCTGGTCTCCCTGCTATAGGAACGATGTTGTGAAACTTGAAAGGGTTCAGAAAAGATTTACAAGGATGCTGCCAGTGTTGGAGGGTTTGAGCTATAGAGAGAGGCTGAATAGGCTAGGCAATTTTCCCTGGAGTGTCAGAGGCTGAGGGGTGAGCTTATAGAGGTTTATAAAATCATGAGGCATATGGAAAGGGTGAATAGTCAACGTCTTTCCCCCAAGGTAGGGGAGTCCAAAACTAGAGGCTACAGTTTTAAGGTGAGAGTGGAAAGATTTAAAGGGACCTAAGGGCTAACTTTTTCACGCAAAGGATGGTGCATAAATGGAAAGAAATGCCGGAGGAAGTGGTGGAGGCTGGTACAATTACAACATTTAAAAGGCATCCAGATGGGTATTTGAATAGTTGGGGTTTAGAGGGATATGGATCAAATGCTGGCAAATGGGACTAGATTAATTTAGGATATTTGGTCAGAATGGACAAATTGGACCAAAGGGTCTGCACATCTCTCTGCCTCTGTGACCTTAAATGCTTAACTCAACTCAAAGATGACTATTGTGAGCAAATTTCTTCAGGAGGTTGCTTTACTTGTCCCACTGAAATAACTCCACAGAGACCGGTATCCTGTCACCAAGTCACCCTTTATTTACACGTGGAGAATTCTTGACACTGATCCAGCTATCAGAGTGAACAGGATGTCTGACACTCCTGTTCTTATCTGCCAGCCATGGGTTCCTGATTGGACCAGATTAACAGCCCCAATCAGAGAATAAATATTATATGAGTCCACCAGTTGAAGGTAAAGTCAAGAACTGTCATTCGGGGCTTCTTTATAATATAAAGCAGAACTTTTCTTTTTGTTCACCACTCTATTGCTGAAAGAAAATGAAAGCTAAAAGCAGAATCTCTTTTTCAAAAATCCTATGCCAAATAAATGCACTGGCTCTTGTAGCCACAATATTTATATGGCTAGTCCAGTTCAGTATCTGTTCAATGATGGTGAAATATCTGATGCAGAGGACATCCTGCACCCTTGCTACTATCAATGCTTCTTCCATTTTATTTTCAACATAGACTCATTCATCAGCTGGCTGGTGCAGGAGGTGGTAATCAGCAGGAAGTTTCCTTGCATTCTGTTGACCTGTTACCATCAGTATTATGTGGTCCAAAGTCAATGGTGTGGACACTCAGGACAACTCCCTTTTCACCATGTACCACACTTCCAACACTTCTAGTGGCTTAATACTGCTGGTGGGTTAGGACATACCCAGGGATAGTAATAGTGGTGTCTGAATTTTCCCACGCCTTGAACCTTGCTAGTGTGAAGCCAAGTTCTGCTGAGTTAGATGAGTGAAGTATGTTGAAAGGAAAGATCCATTTTCATGGTCCATGTTACAAAAACAATATTGAAAACATCGCTGAGGCCAGGCGCCAACTCTCCGAAACCTCCTCCTACCGCCCCCTTGATCATGACCCCACCCCCGACCACCAAATCATCATCTCCCAAACCATCCACAACCTCATCATGTCAGGTGACCTCCCACCCACAGCCTCCAACCTCATCGTTCCCCAACCCCGCACCGCCCGCTTCTATCTCCTTCCCAAAATCCACAAACCTGACTGCCCTGGTCGACCCATTGTCTCCGCCTGCTCCTGCCCCACCAAACTTATCTCCACCTATCTCGACTCCATTTTCTCCCCCTTGGTCCAGGAACTCCCTACCTACGTCCGTGACACCACCCACACCCTCCACCTCCTCCAGAACTTCCAATTCCCCGGTCCCCAACACCTCACCTTTACCATGGACGTCCAGTCCCTATACACCTGCATTCCCCATACAGATGGCCTAAAGGCCCTCCGCTTCTTTCTGTCCCGCAGGCCTGACCAGTCCGCCTCCACTGACACACTCATCCGCTTAGCCGAACTCGTCCTCACCCTCAACAACTTCTCTTTCAATTCCTCCCACTTCCTACAGACAAAGGGGGTGGCCATGGGTACCCACATGGGCCCAAGCTATGCCTGCCTCTTTGTAGGTTACGTGGAACAATCCCTCTTCCGTACCTACACTGGCCCTAAACCCCACCTCTTCCTCCGTTACAATGATGACTGTATCGGCGCTGCCTTGTGCTCCCACGAGGAGCTCGAACAGTTCATCCACTTCACCAACGCCTTCCACCCCAACCATAAGTTCACCTGAACCATCTCTAATACCTCTCTCTCCTTCCTGGACCTCTCTGTCTCCATCTCTGGCAACCACCTAGAAACCGATATCCATTTCAAGCCCACTGACTCCCACAGCTACCTAGAATACACCTCCTCCCACCCACCTTCCTGCAAAAATGCCATCCCCTATTCACAATTCCTTCGCCTTTGCCGCATCTGCTCCCAGGATGAGGCATTCCACTCCCACACATCTCAGATGTCCTCGTTTTTCAAGGACCGCAACTTCCCCCCCTCAGTGGTCGAGAACGCCCTCGACCGTGTCTCCCACATTTCCCGCAACTCATCCCTCACACCCCCTCCCCGCAATAACAACCAAAACAGAATCCCCCTCGTCCTCACGTACCACCCTACCAACCTCCGGATCTAACGCATCATCCTCCGACACTTCTGCCATCTGCAATCCGACCCCACCACCAAAGACATTTTTCCCTCCCCACCCTTATCTGCTTTCCGGAGGGACCACTCTCTCCGTGACTCCCTTGTCCGCTCCACACTCCCCTCCAGCCCCACCACACCCAGCACTTTTCCCTGCAACCGCAGGAAGTGCTACACCTGCCCCTACACCTCCCCTCACCCCCATCCCAGGCCCCAAGAAGACTTTCCACATCAAGCAGATGTTCACCTGCACATCTGCTAATGTGGTATACTGCATCCGCTGTTCCCGTTGTGGCCTCTTGTACATCGGGGAAACCAAGCGGAGGCTTGGAGACCGCTTTGCAGAACACCTACACTCGGTTCGCACTAAACAACTGCACCTCCCAGTCGCAAACCATTTCAACTCCCCCTCCCATTCCTCAGACGACATGTCCATCCTGGGCCTTCTGCAGTGCCACAAAGATGCTACCCGAAGGTTGCAGGAACAGCAACTCATATTCCGCTTGGGAACCCTGCAGCGCAATGGTATCAATGTGGACTTCACAAGCTTCAAAATCTCCCCTCCCCTTACCGCATCCCAAAACCAGCCCAGCTTGACCCCCCTCCCTAACCTGTCTTTCCTCCCACTTATCCCCTCCTCCCATTTCAAGCCCCACCGCCATCTCCTACCTACTAACCTCATCCCGCCCTCTTGACCTGTCCGTCCTCCCTGGACTGACCTATCTCCTCCCTACCTCCCCACCTACACTCACCTCTACTGGGACAACAAGGTGCAGAGCTGGATGAACACAGCAGGCCAAGCAGCATCATAGGAGCAGTAAGGCTGACGTTTCGGGCCTAGACCCTTCATCACCTCTACTGGCTCCATCCCCGCCTCTTTGATCTGTCTGTCTCCTCTCCACCTATCTTCTCCTCTATCCATTTTCTATCCGCCTCCCCCTCTCTCCCTATTTATTTCAGAACCCCCTTCCCCTCCCCCATTTCTCAAGAAGGGTCTAGGCCTGAAACGTCAGCCTTCCTGCTCCTCTGATGCTGCTTGGCCTCATCCAGCTCTACACCTTGTTATCTAATATTGAAAAGAATATGGATTATGTCCCACTGAGGAAGATTCAGCAGTCAAAAGCTAAATTTAAAAAGAAGAATTTAAGAACATTAAGCTCCAGATTAATATCCAACGCGTGTGTTAATTGGCATGCAAATAAGCAGATCAAGAAATTAACGAGAGAAAGCCTAAAGAGAGGTATAGAAGGAGGAGTTTCACTTAATGAAATATTGCCACTATAACTAGAGTTAAAAAAAGTTGTTTAGAGACTAGAGGGAAGCATATAGTGGCATCCCCCAAATAACAGCATTAGGATCGCTGTACTTCTTGATATACATTAAAAACCTGAATGTGGGAGCAGGGTCCAATCTGAAAAGTTAAGGATGATAAAAATCCCCCCAAAAATTAGTAAACAGGAAGATAGCAGCAGACCTCAGAATGATGTGATCAGTCTTGATTTTGGTAGATGAATGGTAATGATATTTAATGCAGAGAAGATTGAAGTTATGCAGTATAAACGTATAAAATGGTATAGTAGGTTTAAAGGTGATGCAGGGATAAAGAACTAGGTAGGGGTTCACATACGCCTCGCTTTGAAGGCAGTACAGTGAAGTTGAGGATTACCAGAACAACCATAATTTCATTTAATGGTGGAGCAGTCTCAGTGGGCTAAATGGCCCAGTTCTGCTCTTATGTTTTATGGTCTTATGTACTCCATTGCTCATGGCATTTCTCTTGCATTTACCTGTCTAACCAATAGTGTGGTGGAACATCCAAGTTCAGCGATAACAAAAGCACAGATGACAATTTCAAAAGCCATGAATTTAGGCTAAATAGCTTGAAAGTGTGTTTTAATGTGGGTGAGGGGCTGTCAAATGAGGTGGATTTGGGTCTCTTAGAGACAAATAGAACAGCACCTGACTCACAAAATAGAGAGTTAATGGGAAATTGTTTTACATAGAGAGAGGGACGGGGATGTGGAAGTTGTTACCACATTTAAAACAGAAACATAGAAAATTGGAGCAGAATTAGGCCATTTGGCCCTTCAAGCCTGTTTTGCCATTCATTATGATCATTGTTGAATGTCCAACAAGCCTGTTCCTGCTTTGCCACCAAATATCATTTGGTCCCTTTAGCTCCAAGTACTATACCCAACTCCTTGTTGAGATCATACAGGGTTGGCCTGCTTTCTGTGGTAACAAATTCCACATACATACCACTCTGAGGGTGAAGAAACTTTTCCTCATTCAGTCCTAAATGGTTTATCCCCATGTTTAGACTGTGACCCATGGTTCTGCACCCCACCCCAAACATCCCTGCTCCATCTACCCTGTCTAGTCCTGTTAGGATTTTATATGCTTCTGTGAGATCCCCCCTCCTTTTCTAATGATCTCTAGCTAATATAATTCTAACCAATTCAACCTCTCCTCATATGTCAGTCCTGGCATCCCAGGTGTCAGTCCCGGAAACCTTGCACCCCTTCTGCAGCAAGAACATTCTTCCTTAAATAACGAGACTCAAGGCTGCACACGATGTTTCAGTTGTTGTTTGATGTATGTATGAGTTGAGAAGGGACTGACAGCACAGAGGATGGCGTGCGATGAGTCTTGAGTCAAGTGCGAGCAGTGCTATATGAAATTGGGGCTAGCGTCTAATGGAACAGAGCTGCACTCCAGCCTGACAACACGTGGTTTTCTCTCTGTATCTTGTTTATGCGCTACGGGGTGCGGACAATGCGGGTTTTGCCTGCCTCATCGCTGATTGGGTGATGGTCCGTTTGTGGGCGTATCCCTGAATTGACTGGCGCTCCGAGGGTGAGTGGGCGTTGCTGCACCGTTCGTTCTCTCTGATTGGCTGCCGATGGGCGGAACCTTCTGGATGTGGTAGTGCGCTCGCGCTATCACCTGTGCCGTTGGAGCTGAGACTGAAGTCAAGGAGTCTCCGCTGCTGCGGACATTAGCAGCTCTGATTGCGGATAAAACTGAGCCCAGTCGTCGGTTCGCTGGTAGCTCCTGACCTCAGGGCTGGCTTCATGCACTGGATTCTAAGTTTAAACTTTTCTGATTTTTTTCCCTCGCCCCAGTTATTTCTCCGTACTGTTCGACGCGGCGTTTGGAGGTTAGATCGAGGGCCATATTTTCGAGCTGGCGTTAACTAACTCCCCTCTCCCCAGTTCAGGGGCCGGCAGCTGTGTGGATTCTCTTCGCTTTATCATCTGCTCGGGAGTGAGTGCCAGAATTCTTGCAGACCTGCTGTAAAGGCCCCCGTCCGTTTACGTTTTCTTTTGCAAATCCTCTTTTAATTGTGGTTTCACCTTGACACAAAGTTCTGCAGATTCATTGCAACTCCCAAAATGTGTTAATGCAGAATGGCACTGGCTGGCTAAGTTAATTTTTACGCTATTTTTGTTATATTTGCAAAACGGCTACGAATCTAACTAGTCTGCTTCGATGAATATTTTGTTGTCTTCAAATTAGCGCAAAAGCAAATGATGAGTGGCGCCCGAACCTACAATTAAACCAGCGATCATTTTAAAATCATGTTTTAGTAACCCTTTATTTAGAGGCGTGAAGTCATAATGACTTAGAGTATGAAAATATATTGAAGTTCTGTCAATACTGGAATCAATATTGTAGATTACCGTTCTTTAGAATTGCACGTAGCCTTCCAATTGATGACTCTTACTAAATTTTGTAATGCTAAAAGCTGGCCTGAGCAATTTTGTACGCAGACCGCACATTTCTGATCTTGATGTTATAGAATAACTCAGTAAACGATGATCAAAGCAAGCTAATACCATTAATTCATTCTGTTGTCATGTTTTTGAATTGTGATATTAGCTGTTATAGTTTGTGTACCACAACAAAACAGACACTCATTCATAGATAACAAGGTGTAGAGCTGGATGAACACAGCAGGCCAAGCAGCATCAGAAGAGCAAGAAGGCTGACGTTTCGGGCCTAGACCCTTCATGTTTAGTTACCCTTATTGAATAGCCATCACCCTCTTATTCTTCAGAGATGATCTCTCAGTTAAGACCTGGCTGAGGTCTGCGTTTACTGTAGGATTGCAATTACTACATGTATCTCGCCCATCACTTTGATACTTGCTGATGACTGTAACACAGTGGGCCACAGTGCATTTAGCACGGTTTACTGCTGCTACCTGCTAGCTTTCACAATATTATTCTTAGATTTCATTCAGTCTCCTGTGTTTTTGTGACTTTTTTTCTGTGTTGGGTAGGTGGTTTTTGGTCTCCCTTACAATGGGAATCTGTCTGGAGCTGACGTTTTAATTCCTGATCATCTGTTTATCTTCCTAAAGGATTTATCCTTTGTATATTACTGAACTAATCAAACAAATTGCTCTAACTGTGTGCTTCTGTTCTCCATCTTAATTTGTTACTGACAGGTTCCTTGTGTACGTATTTGCTTACATCTAACTAGGCTTCCTTGCTTTTTGTTTTGGCTTACATAGAGTCATACAGATATACAGCATGGAAACCAACCTTTCGGTCCAACTTGTCTGTGCTGACCAGAATACCCTAAATTAATCTAGTCCTATTTGCCAGCATTTGGTCAATATCCCTGTAAACATTTTCTATTCATATACCCATCCAGATGCCCTTTAAATGTTGTAGTTGTATCAGCCTCCACCACTTCCTTTGGCAGTTCATTCCATACATGCACCACCCTCTGCATGAAAAAGTTGCCCCTTAGGTCCCTCTTAAGCCTTTCCTCTGTCATGTTAAACTTGTGCCCTCCAGTTTTGGATTCTCCCTAGCCTATGGGAAAGACTTTCACTAAACACCCTTTCCATGCCCGTCATGATTATGTAAACTTCTATAAAGTCACATCTCAGCTGCCAAAGCTCCAGGGACAATAGTCCCAGCCTATTCAGCATCCCTAGCTCAAACCCTGGCAATCTTTTCTGAACCCTTTCATGTTTAACAACCTCTTTCCTATAGCAGGTTAACCAGAGTTGAATTAAGTATTCCAAAAGTGGTCCTAACCAACGTCCTGTACAACCACAACATGACCTCCCAACCCCTACACTCAATGCACTGACCGATAAAGGCAAGCATACCAAACACCACCTTCGCTATCCTGTCTCCCTGTGACACCACTTTCAAGGAAGTATGAACCTGCACTCCAAGGTCTGTTTGTTCAGCAATACTCCCCAGAACCTTACCATTAAGTGTACAAGTCCTGCCCTGATTTGCCCTACTAAAATGTAGCATCTCTCATCTATTTAGATTAAACTCCATCTGCCTATTCACCCATCTGATCAAGGTCCTGTTGGACACTGAAGTAACCTTCTTCACTGTCCACCACACCACCAATTTTGAAGTCGTATAAGTTACTAACCACATCTATTATTCACATCTAAATCATTTGTATAAATGACAAAAGGCAGTGGACCTACCACCGATCCTTGCAGCACACAGCATGTCACAGGTCTCCAGTCTGAAAAGCAACCCTCCATCACCACCCTCTGTCTCCTACCTTTGAGCCAGTTTTGTACCCAATGGCTAGTTCTCCCTGTATTCCACATGACCTAACCTCATTAACCAGTCTACCGTGCGGAACCTTGTCAAATACCTTATTAAAGTCCATAGAGACAATGTCCGCTGCTCTGCATTCATCAATCCTCTTCAGCACTTCAAAAAAACTCTCAGAAGTTACTGAGGCATGATTTCCCACGAACAAAGCCATTCTGACCATCCAGATACATGTTAAATCTGTCCCTCAGAATCTCCTGCAACAACTTGCGCACCATTGATGTCAGGCTCACTGGTCTATAATTCCCTGGCTTTTTCTTAGCACCTTTCTTAAATAACGACACTATGTTAACCAAACTCCAGTCGTCCGGCACCGCACCCGTGGCTATCGATAATACAAATATCTCAGCAAGGGGACCAGCAATCACTTCTCTAGCTTCCCACAAAGATTTAGGGTACACCTGATCTGGTCTTGGGAATGTATCAACTTTTATGCGTTTTAAAACGTCCAGCTTCACCTCCTCTGTACAATGGATGCTTTTCAAGAGATCACTATTTATTTCCCCAAGTTCTCTAGCTTTCATATCTTTCTCTATGGTAAACACTGATGCAAAATACTCATTTACTATCTTACCCATCTCCTTCAGTTCTATGCACAGGCGGCCTCGCTAATCTTTAAGGGGTCCCATTCTTTCCCAGTTACTCTTTTGTCCTTTCATTTTTGCAGTCAAAATTCTTTCCAGGTTTCTGCTGACATCCCCAGAGGTGATTGGGCGTTAGCAACACAGTCTTTTTTAATGAGTTTTGTAAATTTACACCCCTACTTTCCCATCCTTATTGATTTCTGATCAATTATGATTGATCTCATTCCAGGGACTCTCACCTGCTGTTAATCATTTTTTGACAGGTCCACACAAAGCACTTAAAACGAACAACTTAAATTTTTGAAAGTAAGACTTGTTCATAACTTGTAAACTCATTTGCCTGACCGGTGTTGTTTTCAGAAAATACACAACTTTTTTTAAAAATAGTGCCCTGTTGAGTCATTCCCTGATGTTGTTTTATTTTATCCAGGGGCTCTGAAACATTTTCCCAATGGGCTGGAAAATTGTTGTGATGCACAAGACTGGACGGGGACCTGAAAGAGCTCAGGTTGTGGAATAGGCAGTGTTGTGATGAAGTTTTATGGTGTTATGTAAGACCTGATTCATTTAGCACATGTCCACAGTTTGAAAAAAGATGCCAGGATTTAAAGCTGTCTTATAGTGGTTTCCTTGTTTGGAGCTCCATGGCTGCCATTGCTGCCTCAGAGCTCTCAATCCAACAATTTAGGCTTATGACCGCAGTTTGAAAAGCCTATATGCTACTTCAAAGCTCTGGTAATGACCATGTAGACCATGGTTTATATCATTAATTGAAGTCAGCTGTCAGTTTCAAGAACATTTTACTTTTTGTGTTGATCAAACATCCCAAAATGATTTGTCTTAAAATTGTAGTTGAAATCATACTGTTTTCCATCATAATTGTTGTAAAATATAATTTTCACTATGGAGGTGTTAACTTTTAATTTCACCATTATTGTTGAATTGACTGAAGTATTTGTACTGAAAATGGTCGTGTTGTTTTATGAGCAACTTAAAGAATTTCTGATTCAATCATACCTTTCTGCTCTCTGTAAATTGTGAATACAGTCTACCAATGGATTCAACACTGAGTCAGAACAGAGTGCTTGGGCAACATCTCATGGCATCAAGACAATTGATTTTTTTAATATATTCATCGGTTTTCTGTTAAAGATGGCTTTTCCTTACATATGTCAGGTCATCTGTTGTGATGTGGCTATGGAGGCTGATTTCAGATCTACGTCACTTTCCAATATGTAGTCAAAGATTTTTGTTGGGAGTGGCCAGTTTCTCTCTAGATTGTCCTTTGTTCGTGGTTGGCTGTGTTCTTGTTTTGAAAGAAATAATGCCAGTCCTTGAGATTGCTCCCCTGATGGTTCTTTGTTGTGCACTTCATTTCAGTCATGAAACGTGGACATACCACGTTTCTTAGATTAGGAGGCCTTAATCTTTGTCAGAGCCTGTCTTGCAGATGGTGTCCAAGTTTAAGTTGTGAATACCTGACCACCTTAGGGAGTTTATCAATCAGATATATGTACTACATTTCCAATCCATCTGAGTTGGCTGTGATAAAGAGTGCTTCAGTTGCAAATATCTCTGCCTTTTGTACCTCTGCTTTCAGCACTTCATCCTGTTATTTCGTGCCTTAGTTCCCAATAGGTCTTGTGTGGAAGCAGTTGAAACACATAATGCAGGGAATACATGTTTCACAGCCATGTAGGAGAGTAGGTATTGGCACAGCTTTGTACACAGCAGGTGGTAGCTCATTTTCTGCACAGTCTTTAACCAGAACAGGCAATTGCTGAGCTTGCTCTTGCAATTCTGTTTATTACTGTCAATGAAGGTGTTTCCGAAGATTGTGCTTCTGAGTTGGGTGAAGTTTTCAACATATTTTTCAGGTTGTAGTAGATGGAGCATACTCGGAATTTGGTGGTTGGTAAAGTATCTCTGACTTCCTTAAACTGATGGGTATGACAGATTCATCAGCTGCTTTTGAAAAACAGTCCATGATCTTTTGAAGGAGATGCTCTGTGTGACACGGGATCAGAGTTGTAGGCGAACAGCAATTCCCGTGTCTAAATCCTGGAACACCTTTTCTAAGAGCACTGTAGATGTACCTATACTATAGCAGTTCATCTGTCACCACCCGATGGGCAATTAGGAATGGACAATAAATACTAGCCCAGCCAGTGATGCCTGCCTCCCGTGAATAAGTTTTTTTTTAAAAAAAAAATGACTGTTACTTAGTTGAAGATTTCAGTCTCTCTGTTTGTAGGTGTTGCCATCTGTTATGAATTGAATAGATAGTCCCTCAACATTTCCATTTAATGTCTCTGAAAGTGTGGCAGCATAGAATATTCTGGAAAAAAAATAGCCATGACAGAACCCTGCTTCACACTATTTATGACAAAGGGATCAGTGTATTCACCACAGTCAGTGACTCTGGCTGCAATTCCATTGTAAAAGTGCTGTATCAGACTTGTATCTTGATCACAATACTCGAGTTTGGCCAATACTTTCCACAGACCTCTGTTTAGTGTATCAAAGGCCTTTGTCAGGTCAACAAAGGCACAATAGAGTCCCATCTGTTGTGCGTGGCATTTGCCTAAGGATAAAGCTCATGTCACACGTGCCTCTGCCTCTGTTGAACCCACTTGATCTTTCTGGTAGTACACGCTCTTCTATATGGTTTTGGGGATTTTTTTGTATGTACGTTGCATTCTGATTTTGGAAAAAAAAATGTAGAGTAATGGTAGTTATGTAAACAAGGTGTAATAAATTTCTTTTTTGCTCCTTGGCTATTAATGGACAGAGATTTTACAGCAGATTGGTAATTTGCTCCTTAATGTTTATATACTGGTAGAGAAATGTAACCTTTCCGTAAGAGTGTGAATGTGGCTGTGTGAGGATGTTATAAAATGGAAATACTGATTTATTAGGTATATCTTCTGTTGTGGTATTTGTTCAGTTAAAAACCAGGAATGGTACATTAGTTTTGAAATAATAGCCCACAGTATAGATTGTAAATTAGACCAGGTGTCCCAGGTAGAAGCCAAACCACTTAATTCAGATACAAATATCTTATGCATTTTCCTCGAAACTCTTTGAGAGTTTGAAACCTACTCACATTTTATTCATGCTGGTCAATATATTTTTGGCAAGCATTTCAGTCAACGATGTCAGTCAACCTCTCTTTAGATCAGAGAGGTACTCCTTGGATTGGCAACAATAAACTGCTGCCTTAGGTTAACATGCAGCTTTCTTGCTTTTGGATCTGGTTGTTTGACAGTTCAATGGATATGGTTAATTTTCAGTTTTGCAAGCAAAGATAGGTAAGCAAGACATTTACTACAAGTATCTTGATCTTCCAGTTGTCCACTTGTGGTTTAATTTCACATAGAAGCTTTGATTTTGAACCACATTATGAAAAGTATCTATTGTTCTTGATTCCAACCGTTGTAGATGTGCTTGACAATTTGTTAGAGGACCTCAGGCCAACAGATAACTATTGTTTATCTCATGCTTGCATGGAGAGAAGCTTTAACACAGTGAACACAGAACAGTACAGCGTAGGAACAGGTCCTTTGGCCTACCATGTCTGTGCCAACCATGATCCCATCTGCCAACACGTGGTCCGTCTCCTTCTGGTCCCTGACTAGTCAAAGCTTGCCCTGCCAAATTACAGCATTCCAAGTTTTATACAGATTTCAGCATGTATATTACAATCACAATCATAATTATAATGCCCACAGTTCACTGTGCCATTACAACATTCATTTTATCTGTTTTCCACAGTCTTTGTCCATTCCTACCCAAGGCTTTTGCTAGCTACTAACCTTGACAGTCTAGATGTCTTTTTGTTAGTTCCAATGTGCTTTGTTTGCTGCCTTATTACTGAATTTTACAAATTTTAACCCCTTCAGCTCTCCCTTTTTGGCCCCAGGCCTAGCTTAACTTAGCCAATACAATGGTGTTGCCCTTTTCCTTTACACTCGGCCATGCATTGATAGTGTCTAGGCATTCAGCTCAGGGTTGTAATGGTAATAGATCAAACCATCTGTACTATTTAGTCCTTCAATCGATGTCCTTGTCCTAACACCCTGTTACCCCTGATTTGTGAATGCCCACTGCCATCTTCTAAGTGACAACCTGATGTGGTACCTGAGGTTTGTTATGTATAAAATTAATAAAAGTTGTGCAACAACTAGAGCAAGGGAGATGATTTGAATCCATGGGTTTATCCGTGTACTCAATCCCCAGTTTCACTACTCATCCGCAAACTAATTTACTTTAGGTGTTCAGTGTCATTCACTAAGGCTTGGGTCTGTTGCTAGAATGTATAAAATATCTATTGCACTCACTGTGCCATGCCTTGGATTAGGGTGAGGTGTTTGGTCAGTAGTGGGATAACATAGAAGAATTTGTTTAGGTTTTGCGTCAAGTTGTCCTTCATGGTTTTCCCAGCTTGACTCTTTGTATAATCCAACCAGTTCTATCTTCCCCACTCTAGCTAGCATCTCTGGGTGTAAGCACAATGAATGGTTGTAGATGGGCCATGATGAACTGTTGCCATATCGAAACTTCTGTTGCCACATGGTAACATGATATCACCTATCACTCATGTATGCAACAGGTGTTGGCTGTTTTGCTGCCCACATAGTCTCCATTAAGTCCACATGGAATGTGGGAGCAGAAGTTGGCAGTTCAGCCCATTGCATCTGATCTGCCATTGAGTGAGATAATGGCTGATCTGAAAATCCTCACTCCGCTGATCTGAAAATCCTCACTCCGCTTTCCTTCCTTTTCCCCTTAATTATTGTCACATATTATACATGCCACCACCCTACTCCCCAACTTAATCCTACCATATAATCATGTAAATCACCAAAGGCTTACCTATTGTCCTTATAAATGCTAGCCTGCTAGGTGCAGTATCATATCTGTGCTAATCTGTACACAACATTTCAATTTGTTTTCTCTCCACCACACTTGATGTGCATGCTAATTATCTACCTCTGTTGGACTTTTCCATTTGCAGATTATCTTGTTCAATAACATTCTGTAATAGAAATTGTTACTAATGCTTAGTTAGACACAAATGCTTTAACTACCATGTCAAATGAGCTTAGATTCCACAATCTCTTTCCTGAAACTGTACTCTGTATCCAATTCATGGATATTTCTTATTATTTCTGTTAATTGTCCCATGTTTTGAAAACAAAACACATTTTACTGCTTCTATCTTCTCATGATTCTTAGGAATCATATTTATGATATTCTTAACTGTTTGACCTCAAGCTGTAACATTTGTAGTATGTTCATGTTTTAGGACTTTTAGTATTTCAGGTTTTCCGGAGTAATTTATTTTAGACATTTTACATCACAAAAATATTCCAGATTCAACCAACCGGTTCCCTTTATAATTTCTTTTCTTAAGAACTTGTGGCTTTCTTTGAAACTACTTCTATGTTACTCACTCTTGCTCTTGATTGAACATTTTATGCTTAACCAACTTCATCTGATGTAAGAGATAGTAGGAACTGCCGATGCTGGAGTCTGAGATAACAAGGTGTGGAGCTGGATGAACACAGTAGGCCAGGCAGCATCGGAGGAGCAGGAAAGCTGACGTTTCGGGTTTGGACCCTTCTTCAGAGCGTCAGCTTTCCTGTTCATCTAGCTCCACACCTTATTATTTTCAACTGATGTAACTTCTTTAGCTCTGCTCCTCCCTTTTGTCAGTTCTTGAATGGATACAGCTATTTTAGCTAAGTCCTTCGCGTAGGATTTTACAGTAATTATACCATTCTACCACATTTCTCTCTCATCCTCAGGCCTTGGCAGTTTCTATGTTGTTTCCTTTCAAATGCGGGGAAGTTCCCATTGTTTTATTTGAGTTGGCTTTAAATTCCATTGCTTCCAGAAAATGCAGTAAAGCCCTATGTGTTCCTTAACAGTTCCCAAGGTGATCAGAAGATCATCAATGCATTGGATTACTCTTATGGCTCTTAAACCTCATGTAATTTTCCCTTTTTGAGTCCCAGCCTTGGTAATTTTAAACAGTGCTTCTTGGATCAGAGACTCAAGTAATTTAATTTAGGGTTCTCCCATTCTCAAATGCCTTTCCTCAGAAGATAACACATGGCCTGACAGGTCAAGGCCAAGTCTGTAAAAGGCAAAGTCTTTAAACCAAATTGGATGTCTGTAAATCTCAAAACCACACATCTAGCAGTATGCAAGGTTGATGGTGGAAAAAAAAACTGCCAGCAGAAATAGTTAAATCTGTGGTGGTCTGAGAAGGGGTTGTGGGTGTGGGGTCATGTCATAATTTTACGTTGTTTTAAAAAAAAACCTACCACAATCTTTTGAGAATTTCCAATAGTCTCTTTAAATATGATAGTCCTTTTTGGTTTTACCACATATTTCAGTTGTCTTAAAACCCTTTTTATTATTTTTTAAGATCATCGTTACAATAGAAGAATATTTCTCGTATCTTTACTTTTGTGATATGTTTTCTTAAATACTTTTTCCAAAACTGAGTTCAAACTGTCTGCCAAAATACAGCTTATCTGTGTTTTGGAAACAAGATAAGCTTGTACAACATGAAAAAGTTGTTTTTCAAATTAAAGTCTCAACATACAGTTCATACCATTTCCAAATATTTGTTCAAACTTTTGAAATTCTTTGTTTGCAAACAACAACCTAATTTGCATTGAGCCTTCTTCAATTATGGGTGAGTTATTGTCTTCCTCACTGTGGTGCAATGGGCAGTTGTGATCCATTATATGGGGCTGGTCTTTTATTCTCTCCATTTTTCAGCCACTTCTACCTCATCCTCGTCTATGCCTGCTGAAGCCACTGACTCATGGCTTTTTCTTGTTAACTAATCTGAACAACTGCAAATATCCTCTTTATTCTTCTTCTGACCTATCCATCAACCCTTTTGTTCTCTGGGCGTTCGTCTCATCTTTCAGCAATCTCAATCATTTCTAACTGACGTTCTGCTGTAAATTTGGTAACGAAACCCTGCGAACCCCACTCAAAGTATCAGCCTCTCCCTGTTCCATTAATCTGATCTCACCTGACTCTGATATGAATCAAATATTTCACCTGCCTGTATGGCCTTTCCCAATTATAAGTCTTTTAACCTCACCTCAGCAGCCTCCAACATGAGTATTTATTTCACCAGCCTATACTGTCCTATCTTCCTGATTTATACAGTTTCTGCCTCACCCTTTCAATGCTAGGTCTTGAGGGGTCTTACCTTTCTGCATGGCACTTTACCTTTTCTCACCTAACTCTTCCCTGCCCTACCAGCATGATTTTGTCCCTTCACTCAGAGCCGGTCGTCCTGAGTGCCCCCTCAAATTATTTGCATCTCTTCCATATCTATCTGGTACAATTCTCTGTTCTCACTGTAGGTGCTAAATTAAAACATACTCACCCAAATGCAGTGCCCTCCTGGGGGTGTGACACACAATCCTGCTGACTATGCCAAACTGTGTAAAGAACTTGACAAAATGATAGGGGATCTCAGGAGAACAGAATTTATTTCATTCTCCTGAAGAAAATACTTAACTGTGGTCAAAGCTTGCTATACTGAATTACATAGCTCTTTCAAGCTTATGCAGATTACAACATGCTTATTAAATTCACAATTACTATTCTAACACTTCAACAACATCCATGTTTTCTCTATTTTCCACAATCTTTGTTTGCATTGTCTGTTTGTACTCCGTGCTTTTGCTAGCTACTAACCTTGACAGCCTCGGAGTCTTTCTTTGTTAGTTTCCATGTACTTTGGATTGCTTATTGTTGAATCCTTCCTAATTTAACCCTTTCCAATGATCAGGTGAATGAATGATGTAACCAATAAGTTGAAATGTCACAAACAATTTTTTTGAAGCAATGAAAAGGAAACAACGTGAACTTATGTAGCAGTTTGAAGTTAAAGTATTCTAAGTTACTTCAGACAAGCATTGTAAAGCAAATTTATATACAGTAAAATTTGGTGTAGCTGACCGAACACTTGGTCGTAAATGTAGATTTGAAGGACTACCCAGCTGGAGAGACTTAGAGATGGAACTCTAGGGCTTAGGGCATAGGCAGCTGATGGCACAGTCACCAACAGTGGAAAATTTGTAATGGGGAATGCTTGAGGCTATAATTAAATGAATGCAGATATCTTGGAGTGTTGTGGGATTAGAGGTCATTATAGAGAAAACTAGGATGAAAATTTTAAAAATTGAGGCATAGCTTGTAAAGAGGCTAACGTAATTCAGCAAGCACAGTGTGATTGGGAATGGGATGTGGTGCGAGGAAATACATGGAAGCTCAAGTTTACGGAGCCAAATTGTGGGAGGCTGGGTAGATGTGCATTGGAATGAGCAAGTCTAGAGTAACAAAGTCATGAATGAGGATTTATCCAGCAGATAAGGTGAAGCACAGACAAAGTCAGGCGATGCAAGGTGAAGGAATTATGTGGTATTAATGATTATGTGAATAAATGGTTGGGTAATCATTTCAGTCAGTGATGCCAAAGTTACAAACTGTTGACAGTTGCCAGGAAGAGGGATAGATTCAGTGCTAGGAAACAGATTTTGGAGCAGGGACTGAAATCAATCGTGTCATTCTCTCCAATATTTAATTGGAGGAAATTTGTGTTCATCCTCTACTGGATGTCAGATAAACCATCAAATAATTCAGCAACAGAGGATTTGTCAGAGAAATGAAAGTCAAGTAGAGTTTGGTGTCATCAGCATAGACTTGAAAACCCTGCTGAATTTAAGTTATTGATTTTTGCGCCATCTAGATAAGCAATCCAATGCACTTTGCTTTCTTTACACATGTCTTTTTGTATATATTTGGCAGTAAATAATTTAGTAGTTTTTAATATCTTTAAAATTTTCGAGAATGCTTCACTCAATAAATAATTTTGAATGTTGCTGAAAAAACACTAGTTTTGTCCAAGCTTTTTATCTTGCGCTCATCAGGACATTTTCATAAGAATACAGATTCATGGAGAAAGCCAACGTCTATGCTGTACGAAAGGGGGATGCAGATTGGTTGGTAAGTGGTAGAGGCAGTGTGATGGGGAATGCATCTATTACTTCTGAGTGACAGTTAATAGCTAGAGATTAACTTTTAAAGCAGGCATTAAGAGCTCTTGTGGTGCAATAGTAGTATCGCCATCTGAGTTCAAGTCTCACCTGTTCCAGACATGCTGCATAATACTCTTGAGCAGGTTGATTAAAAATATTTTTTAAACCAAACATTTAATTCTTGTTGGTCAGTGCATTGCCCTGAGAAATAAGTAAGTGAATGGTAGTCATCTATTTTGTTGAACTGAAGCAGGCACAGTGGGTGTACATGTTCTTTCTGTCTGCAAAGAACAGGGCTCTGTTTATTTGCATTTACTGGAAGCTACGTATATTAGTACAAGATGAAGAGCTTTGACAAAGTATCTTTTTTGACCAATACTTGAGCTCTCTTACCAAATGATTATTTATAAATAATGTGTGTATAACATGTGATGTAATAGAATTAATTTAAATTTCTTTTTTTAGATTCCAAAGACATGGACAAGATATTAGAAGCCATGCTGTTGTCCCAACATCCAGCTTCAGTAAAACATAGCTTCGTGAGACGTATTTTAGAGGCAGCGAAGCAACCTCTTGACAGTAATCAGTGTTGGGCTATGTTTGAGTTATCTACAAATCTTATTCTGTTGGGTGATACAAAGTTCAAAAAGGATGTGGGCAAAGAGGTTCTAGAGGCGTATGCTGTGAACCACATTTCAGAGTTTGAGAGTTTTTTTAATGTGAAGTTTATCTTGAAACTAATGCAAGATGGTTATGGAACATTGAACATAAGGAGTGTTGGTATTATTGAGTATATTCAACTAGGATTGAAGTATATTCAAGACAGTTCTTCTGCTGATGAAGTATTTCATATCCTCCAAATTGAACTTCTCCGATTAGTGTGTGAGAAACCTGGATCAAAGTTGTGTGCCAGCATTAGTAAACTTATTGTTGAATTTCCTCGGTGTATTCCCAGTGGGAAGTTTCAAGTGGTATTCTGCCAGCAACTTGTTAGAAGCATAGGACAGTTTCAGAATGGATCAGAAGAGGAAGATGAAATAGTGGAATTCTTGGATCAAGTAAATAAAGTAAGCAGCTTGTTACAGAGAATCTGGCGAACTCAAACTGCAGCCATTATTCCATCCTTGCGGGAGCTGTTTACTGTTATTTCATCAACAGGTAAGGAAAAGTGCTTTTTCTTTGTATCTGAAATGGTTATTAGATGTTTATTTTATATCTCCCTTCAAACCACTTGTGAACCAACCAATCTCAGCATGCTGGGAATCATGCAAAAAGTTTAACATGTTTCTTAATTTATAGGTTTTTGTCTACTTTTTTTCTGCTCTGTTTTGTAGGATAACTTTGACATTTGTATGCTATGATATGCCAAAAAATTGAAACTTGTTCAGGTAGTGTTGCATGATGAATTATTGCTATTGATTTCTCTAACTGGGATTGACTAGAATCTACATCATACAGAAGCTCTTCATACAATTGCAAGCTATTTCATTGTGCTACATAATGTTGGAGTCACTCTCTGCTCTTGCATTTAAGATTAATACCTTAGTCCATGGGTGCACATTTTTGTACTGAAGCAGCTTCATTGAAATGATTAATTTGGCCTTTTGTTACCACTTTACTCTTTTCCAGTATATTTTTATCATATTTATCTATGTGTACTGCTGTCATTAACGTGGCGGGTATACATGCATGCAAGTATGCTGAGAGAGAGGGCTGGTCTTAAATGCCTGCTTCATTTTTATGTTAAAAAGAATTAAGCTATTTGGACCATTTTTTGGTAGTCTTGAGTAGTGAGTACATATTACATCTGTGTGCCATGTTAATTAAATCAAAGTTCTGATGAGAAAAATGACCTACTTCCTGTCATTCAACTTTATGTTGTTGGGTCAGTTTATAGAATGTTTAATCACCAGTTAAACAATGTTGTCATCAGTCGTGTGAAAGAAATCCATGCCTAATTTTTACCTTTTGACACAGTTGACAAGATCCATCTCTTCCAGTGCTTCTCCTTGGTCTACATGAGTGGGACTACATTGAAATAGTTCTTGTAACCAAAGAATCTCCTGCAATTGCTCCTTTCTTTCATTGCCATCGTCTTGCTTCCCTGAAGGATTTATTCTTGGTTTGGCTTCTATTTTGAAGATGAAGTAATTACCTATGACCCTTGTCCATAACTGTTACCTAGTTACGGATTCTACCCTGGAAATCTTCACAGTCTATCGTTGAACTAGACTTCTTGACTCTGAACTGAATTTGCAACCTCATTGTCTCTGACTGTCCACTTCTCCCTGTCTAAGATTACCTGTCTATGCCTCTGATTATGTGCTATCGAAATCCTCATGATGTTGCTTTGAATTTTTAAAAAAATTATTTCCTCATGCAATGGAGTATTGCTGGTAAGGCCAGACATTATTGCTGTCCTAGTTACCCATGAGAAGTTGCTGGTGAGCTGTCATGAGCTTCAGCAGTCCAGCTGGTGCAAATACTTGAGTGCTGTTCAGGAGGAGGTTCCAGGATTTTGACCCAGTGACAGCAGTGTCCCACTGACCTCCCATTTTACACCCTCCATAAATATTCTTATTCATATGGCTCTGTTAGATATCTATCTATTCCAACTGGCACCAAATTGTATTTACTCATCGTCCTCACGTTCACTGACCTACATTGGTTTCGGTCCAGCAGTGTCTCCAATTTATGGTCATTGTCCTATTCAATTCTCTCTGCAGCTTTGTTCCTCCCTGCCTTTGTACTATCCTCCAGGTCTTGGTTATGTCTAGCTTAGCTATGTCTTCCTGCAGCTTTTTTTTATTCCTCTGCCTTCAGCTGTCCCAGGCCTAAGTTCTGGAATTTCCTGACAAAACCCTGTACTTTTTCTTAAAACTCAAAGGTTTTCTTTAAAAGCTCTCTCTTGACCAAGCTGGTAGTCATCTGTCCTAATGTTTTCTTCGTCTCATTAAGTTTTGGTTTGATTATGTTCCTGTTATGTGCTTTGGGATGATTCATTACGTTAAAGACACCACATAACTGCAAGCTATTGATAATATTTGCCTTTTAGGAAGTTGAAAGAAATCTGTCAAAGATCGAGATTAGATTATACAACTGATATAATATTGCCAAATAAAGCATCTAACCATATCTGGAAATGTTTGCTGTGGTGGCTAGTTTCTTATTTCCACACTGCCATCACTTCTTTCAACACACAAACATTTCACCTGTGATAATCTTTTGGTTATGTTTCCTGGGGGAAGAACTTTTGTCAGACCACTGAAAGCCTTGCCTTTTGTTTCAGTGCTGTATGGGATCTTTCTTCTTGAGCCCCCAAAACAGGCAGCTATTACCACAATTTAAATCTTGTAAAGCATTGCATCTTGGAAATACAACACCACTTCAGTATTGTAGGAAACTCAGTCATGATATGGACATAGAAACATAGGAGCAGGAGGAGGCCATTCGGCCCTTTGAGCCTGCTTCGCTATTCATTACAATCATGCCTGATCATCCAATTCAATAGCGTAATCCTGCTTTCTCCCAGTAACCTTTGATCCCACTCGCCCCAAGTACTATATCTAGTCGCCTCTTGAATACATTCATTGTTTTGGCATCAACTACTTTCTGTGGCTGAAGAAATTTCTCCTCATCTCCATCTTAAATGGTCTACCCTGAATCCTCAGACTATGACCCCCTGGTTCTGGACGCACCCACCATTGGGAACATCATCCCTGCATCTACCCTGTCTAGACCTGTTAGAATTTTACAAGTCTCTGAGATCCCCCCCTCATTCATCTGAACTCCAGCATAAACAATCCGAACCTAGTCAACCTCTCCTTGTACGTCAGTCCTGCCATCCCTGAATCAGCCCAGTAAACATCTGCTGCACTCCTTCGAGAGCAGGAGTATCCTTCCTCAGAAAAGAAGACCAGAAACTGCACACAGTATTCTCGGGGTGGCCTCACCAAAGCCCTAATTAACTGCAACAACACATCCCTGCTCCTGTACTTAAAACCTCTCACAATGAAGACCAACATACCATTTGCCTTCTTTACCGCCTACTGCACCTGCATGCTTACCTTTAGCAACTGGTGCACAAGGACACCCAGGTCCCGCTGCACACTCCCCTCTCCCAATTTACAGTCATTCAAGTAGTAATATTCTTGTTTTTGTTTCCAAAGTAAATAACCTCACACTTATCCAAATTATACTGCTTCTGCCATTGATTTGCCTACTGACCCAACCTGTCCAGATCATGCTGAAGGATCTCTGCATCCTCATCACAATTCAACCTCCCACCCAACTTGGTATCATCTGCAAACCTTGAGATGTTACATTTTGTTCCCTCATCCAAATCATGAATATGTTTTGTGAATAGCTAGGGTCCCAGCACTGATCCCTGGACCTCAACCTCAACCTCTTGCACAAAAGACTAAAGCACCAGAAAATGAGCTAACTTAACAATTTATATTTTCAGTATTACAACCTTATGGGAATGAAGCATGGATTCTAGTTTACTTTCACCTTGATTTCATCATGACCACTTGACAAAGTACACTGATAGTCAGCCCCACTACTCCCACCATCATCACAAAAGTTAAAGATTAATCCAAGTTTCCACTTCACCTGTCTTGTGGATTCAGATTAATAAAAAACAAAGAGCGGTTTCTATACTTAACACTTCATGGGATGTGGATGTCGCTGGCTGGCCAACATTTATTGCCCACACCTAGTTGCCTTGAGAAGGTGGTTGTGGTGAGCTGCCTTCTTGAACCACTGCAGTTCGTGTGCTGTAGGTAAACCCAAAATGTCTTTAGGGAGGGAATTTCAGAAATTTCACCCAGCAACACTGAAGGAATGAGGATACATTTCCAAGTCAGGATGGTGGGTGGCTTTGAGGGGAACCTGCAGGTGATGGTGTTATCATATATCTGCTGCCCTTGTCCTTATAGATGGAAGTAGTTGTGGGTTTGGAAGGTACTGTCCAAGGATCTTTCTTGTATTTCTGCAGTGCATCTTGTAGATAATATACACTGCTGCTACTGAGCATCGATGGTGGAGGGGTTGGATGCTTGTGGGTGTGCTGCCAATCGAGCAGGCTGTTTTGCCTTCGACTGTGTCAAGCTTCTTGAGTTGTTAGAGCTACACTCATCCAAGCAAATAGGAAGTGTTCCATCACATACCTTACTTGTGCCTCATAGATGGTGGACACACTTTGGGGAGTCAGGAGGTGAGTTACTCACCACAGTATTCCTATCCTCTGACCTGCTTTTGTAGCCACTATCTAATTGGTAAGTTCAGTTAAGTTTCTGGTCAACAGTAATCCCCAGGATGTAAATAGTGGGGTTTCAGTGATGCTAGTACCATTAAACGTCAAGAGTCAGTGGTTAAATTGTCTCTTATTGGAGATGGTATAAATGTTACTTGCCACTAATTGTTACATTTGAACATGGATTGCTTCTGTATTTGAGAAGTCGTGAATGGTGTTGAACATTTGATATTCACTGATGACTACACAGTGAAAGTCAATGAAGCATCTGAAGATGGTTGGGCTGAGGACATTGTCCTGAAGAACTCCTGCAGAGGTATCCTTGAGCTGAGATGACTGACCTCCAACAACCACAACCACCTTCTGATATGCCAGGTATGATCAAATTGGGGGACAAAACACCGACTCTCCGACTATCCTACGTTTGCTAATATCCACAGATTTATGCAAATCTACCATGGCCTTATTCTCTTAAACAGTACCTGGGATCTCAAACTTCATCTACTTGTAAAGAAAGAGTTAATCTTCCTTGCCAGATTTCAACTCCATTCAAGGAGTCTCATCAGGAATCTTAAGGCAGTTGGATGTTTAAATAAGTTTTCTGTATCAGTAGTGATTTTGTTGAAGTACCTGTTAGGTGTTTATGTTGCAGCAGGTGGTCTCAATGTCCATGAACTCCTATTGATAAGTAAGCCGGTCCATATCTTTTAACACTCAAGATCCTAAATGACCTATGACATTATTAGGGCGTGTAACTAATGGAAGTGAAACAAACTGCTTATTACAGCTAGTCGTTTTGGTATGCTTGTTGGTTCATAATAGTAACACAATGAAATGGTCATTTGATATGCCATTAGACTTAGCATCTAGTTTGTTTTCACTGATATAGTGTGATGATTCTTTCATCCATTTGGACAGCATTTAGTTGAGTTTTTAAAAAGTGCATGTTTTTGATACCAGGTTGTCTGATTCTGACTCAAAGTCCTTTAAAGGAATTTGATTCTGTCTCTGGTTCTTCTGGAGCAATACATTGGAAATGTAAAGAGTGGGTCTGTCTAATTTTTCTTTTTTTTTTGATTGTAGAATGAAATGGGGAAAGCATGGCTTTAAAAAATAAGGATTATGGAAAGGATTTACTGCTCTTTTAAAAGTGAGTTGCCTGACACTCGCTGTGACTCCTCTTTACATTGCCATTTGTTCAAGCAGTGGGAAAAGTCACTAATAATGAATTGAAACCAGGGAGTGTGTATGAAGGAGATTTAGCCAGCAACACTTAGTTGATTGGTCTGTTGAATTAGAACCAGTTGTCAATGATGATGACTTTTTACCTGCTAGCAACTGTGATCGACTCCCAGGTAGCTGAACAGCTTGTAGGTGTAAATGTTTGATCAGAAGCCATTGGAACTCCGAAAAGGAAGGAGTTGTGCGTTGCCCGTGCGTTGATGAAGGAGTTGTCCTTCTCTGTGCAATAAAAAAAATCCAAACCTGAAGAATGCCAGTTTATTTGCCCATTGTTGGTTGCTGTGACCTGTGCTTTTAAATTAATAAGTCAGATCCTTTATAAATGTGAACGAGTTACCATGTGCCTCCTGCAAGCAAGTGAAAGTATATGGGAAAGGAGGATTGAGGAGGAGCTGCTCCTGAAAAGCCAAAAGATTCATCTGGTGAACCTTGTGAATAGGGACCATTTAACTGCCTTCCCAGTCTTTGCCTCTTCTGTTAACACCCATGGACTTTTTTTTTGTTTCTGTGAGTATCTGTACATGTGTGTAGGGGGAGTTTTGTAAGTGGGTTAGAGTTTTAATGAGTAAAGTTACATGTCACCAACTCATAATTATTTACCTGTAGCTAGAATTTCTTTATTAATAATAGTCATCCTCATTAACTAGAGAAGCCTGGGCTGTGCTTTCTGTCAACCTGGGTCTAAAAGACCGGTAAATTGAGGAATTTTCTAAACTTCTATAAAGTTGGTATCTGTTGTGATGACTCTGGAAATAGTGTGACTTTATTTCCAGCACACAAGCCTAGGTGAAGTATAATAGGTAGATCAATCAATCAATCAATCTTGTATAAAAATTTTGCATCTCTATTTTTCCCCTTGTTTTTAAATTGTACATTTGATTGGAACTTCTATTTTAATGGAAATAAGTTAAATATTTATCAAATAAATTATTAGATATGTATGTTAGGAAGATTTGTGTAATTATTTGAGAACTTGACTTTTAAAATGGAGTAAAAATAGATTTTAGTTTTCCATTTCTGTGAAAATCTGACTGGTTCTTAAGGTCAGAAAATCATTTTAAACATTGAATTTAAACAGCATTCACAAGACGTCATGATTTTCAGTTGAATGACCAGCCAGCCACATGGGAGGATTAGATAGACAGGTTTCTGGAAGAGATGTTAACCGAAGAAAATGGACTCAAATGAACGTGCAGAAATTTGCTGAAATGAAATCCATTACAGCTAAGCAAGAATGCTTTAGTTTGGAGATCGGGGGAACCCTTGAGTGTAAAATTATTGCTGGGATGAAATGGATATATCATTCTGATATTTGTAATGAGACTATTTCAATAGTTTTTATGTGGCATAATAGAATTTACTTTGCTTCTGTGTAATAAATGTTTGTACTCTCCGGGTTGAAGTACATTGGTGTCTTGTAAATAGGTCACTGACCACCACAGTAAACAAAACGTAAAATAAAACTAATAGTTTATCAAGCCATGTTTCTTGTGAGATCTGACTTGTCCAATATTGCCATCAATTGGGATCACAACAAGTACCACATTCTTGGGAACATTCCAGATGCTGTGGCAACTTTCCTTTGTTATTCATAAGAGCCTGAGATAATTCAGTGACTTCTTCTGTCTGGGGTATTGGACTGCCAAATATGACTAATTAGTAGGATAGTTGCATATTTTTTATTACAGTCCAAATGTGTTTAAAATCTCAGCTGGGAGAAAATAAACCTAAACAGATGTTTATGTAATGGAGAACTTGAAGTGCTGCATTTCCATATTCTTCGGTATATTAGTAAATAACTTGAAGCCAGTACCAGCTAATAATTTCTCGTTAGGTTTTGTAAATCTATAAAGAAGTTTCTACTGTAATAATATAGCACTCCAAAATGTTAATTTGTTCTAATGACATCTTAAAAATTCAGTTAACTTGAACTAGATATAGTTTACAGGTAACATCAAGTATATTCTGCAGCTAGCTAATTGGAGAGAGATTAATTTATTGGAAATTTAGAACTGCTGTAGTGATATGATATGGGATTGCTGAGTTTAAGTGCTTTGAAGAAATGGAACCAATTTATGAAACATTTGAGAGAAATTTGATGTATGCATCAAATATAAATGTCCCTTTATAGTGTGGGTGAAGAAACGAGATAAATGTTCTGTTTTGTGTGATTTACAGATAATGCGACGTGCGGAGAATGTAACTGCACTTTAACCTAACATTTTCTTTATATAAGGGGCAAAAGTTCTATTTCGTGGGAAACAACTTTGCGTTTTGTCTACAACAGCACACCAGGAAGTTGGCTAAAGAACAAAGTAGACCAAATGAGGATGTACAACAGCATTGGTTTAAATGATTGTTTTACGGTGCCATGTCCTTAAACAAATTAGGAGCGTACTTGGGATATGTTGTTAGGATAACCGTTTCAGATCCAGAAAGAAAACAGATTGAATTTTCATGAGAAACTGCTTTAATAGGATTGTGGTTAAAGATTGAAAGAACTTTATTTTAGTTGATGTTTACTAATTTTTTGCAGAAGGATCTGAGGGGCCATCAAATGCATTGGCCACTGTCGTCCAGTATGTTCCGTTGGAACTCATGGATGGGGTCATTCGAAACTTGACCAATGATGACTCCATTACAGATAAAGAGCTAATGACTGCTTTGACCAAGTAAGGTTTCTCTGGATAGTTAAGAACAATTTAAAAATAAGACATAATTATGTTGCAGGATCATGCGTTGGACCTTGATTAACATGAAACAGAACTGTGTTTGAAATTTCAGGCCGTATATTTTCCACTGCTGCATGGTGAATTTGTGACTTTAGAGACGAGACGCTAAGCAAAGAGCATGCTGTTTCCTGTACTCTTTGCACACAAGTTAGAGGCAAGCCAGGGAGGCTTGAAATACAGCGCTTGGCCCTTGGCCAGGATGTTATTTGGAAATTAAGTGGATGGAATAAGAAATATTGTGGAAATTAAGAATCTGGGGGAGTAAAACGATGGGAAATGAGGTTAACAGTGAATTACCATGCAAATTTTGAACCAGTTGGTTTATTCGTTATTGGGTCAAATCGTTGGTTCATTGTTTCAGCAGGGAACTAGAAATTAGCGGTGAGAGGCTAAATTACTTGAAGATGTTTCAGTGTTTGAAAAGCAGCACAATTGTGCAGCCGCATCTGTTTTATACTAGACATAAACTGTTAACAGAAGAGATATCAGCACCACTGAGCTCCTTGCCCGTGTACAATTACTCCATGTTTGGAAATGTAGGGTTGAAGTTTTTACTTGTTTTTTTAAAATCTTTGAGAATATTCTTCTACCACTCCTCTTCTCATCTATTGGTATGGGGTTACGTTTGTACAAAAGATGACGACATTTTGGATTGGTATTTTCCAGAAGGTTCTAGTCTCACAGAACTTGGTGAAGAAATACTTTGCTTATTTTTATTTAACTGAGACACATTTCAGCTAGGTTCATGTCTAGTTCTGAAGTTAAATCGTCTTTAAGTCAACGAGTGTCTGCTTGCCCAGCCTCTCATTTCCAGTTAAAGGAAATGTATTAACATGATAAACACACAATATTTAAGAAGAATTGCATGAAGACTCCAATATGTGATCTTTACTAGTAGAATAAATCTTCATTTCCTCCTCCCTATAATGCGTTTACCATTGATATGGTGGGTGATGCTTAAATTATGCTGATTAAAACTGCTCAAAGTAACTCAACTTAATTCATGTTCTAAGTTACTGCATTAACTATATAGGATCTGTTATGAGGCCTATTAAAACACCAAAAATAAAATAAACCAATTTTCTAAGGGACCTTCTAAGTAAATATTTAACTTTTTTACTTCAACATAAATCAGCACCAATGTGAAGCGTGGTTTAACAGCCAATCAAAAGTGAATGTGCCTTTTAGTTGATACAAGATAGATGCATCTTACGTAACCACAAGAACCTGCATCACCCCTCTATCATTTCTATGAAACCACTGTCACTTATATGACACCACACCTGATGACATAGATTTTCGTTGTCCTTTTCAACTGATCAACCAACATAGCTAGTTCATCTGATAGAAGCTCTCAACTCTTTGGCATTCCTGGGCTATTCACATTGGTTTGAATATTCAGTCCCTTTTAGCAGCTCATACATCACTTTCCTCACTGCCAAACAGAGAATTGACCCTTTTCTCATAGTGCTTTGTTGGCTTCTCTTTGCATGAATTCCGTTTTTATCTGTGTGGAGTGCTGATCACCTTTATCCTAGATCTTGTGTCCTGCAACTTTTCTGTGTGTTAGGCCACATGGCTTCTGGATACTCACATCTTTGCTGGTGGTCCCATGTTAAAAGCCACCGGATCCTGTGGACAGAGATAGTAGGAACTGCAGATGCTGGAGAATCTGAGATAACACGGTGTAGAGCTGGATGAACACAGCAGGCCAAGCAGCATCATAGGAGCACGAAGGCTGATGTTTCGGGTCTACATTCAGAGGATCCTGTGGACAAATAGTTTACTATCGTCCTATATTAAAATTATAACTGCATTTTCAGTTGATGTAAATTCTTAAAAGTCCTTTTTCACTTTTTTTCTTACAACTACAAATTGCTCAGAAAGTAATTTGAAAGTAATTACAGTTTTTCTTCAGTGTTTCCAGACCAATGTTCATTGCACCTTTACCACTCTGAGTGAGATGCAGCTTAATTCATACTTGATGAAAGTATCTAAAAACTAAAGTAACATCTGCTGTAATTAATATCAGATCAATGAAGTATGATTCTAGAATGCTAAAATAAGCCTGACTTCTGTTTTTTTTTCCTGAGCCATACTTTTTAAAAACTCTCTCAATTGTGTTTGTACCCTTGACTCCAAGAATAAGTGCAATGAGCTGATGGGCTTGATTGTCTCTGAGACACACACCATCTGATCAACAGGCTGTTCCTCCCTTCCACTAGCTTGCCAAGCCAATTTCCTCTAAATCTTGCTGCTACACTGGACCTGAATTCTTAAAGTTGAATAGATTCTCTTGGGAAAATCTACAGTAAGCAGCACAAATAGCCATTCTATTGAACAAGTTTGTGATGGGTTTATATTATACTATTATCTTTCAGTTAGGGGTGAGCACTGCTGACAAGGCCAGCCTTTCTTTCTTGTCCATTATTGCCCTTCAGAAACTCATGATAGGCCACTTTGTTGAAACATTTGTAGTCCATCTAGTGCTGTTAGGTAAATCTATTAGCAAGAGAGTTCCAGATTTTTGACCCAGTGACATTGTTTCTTCAATGATACAGGTATAAATCAAGATTGTGTGTTGCTTGGAGAAGACCTTGTAGGTTGTGGTGCTCTTGTCCTTCTGGGTGGTTTAGATTTGATTTATTTGTCACATGTACTAAGTATAAGAATACACAAGTATAGCAAAAAGTGTACAAAGTCATCATTCACTGGCGCCCATTTGGTTACAAAAACCAGAATGAAAAGATTTAAGAGGCAAAAGGTAAGCAAGAAAAAAGAAGTCCAGATCTTAGTCTCCCAAGTCCCAAGTTGCTGGTTTAGAAGGTGCAGTTCCAAGAGACTTGGCATATCACTGCAGTGGATCTTCATATCTAATATATACTGCTGCCTCTGTATGTTGGTGGTGGAGCGAGTTCATGTTGAAGATGGTGGATTGGGGTGGGGTGGGGGGGGGGGGGGTGCGCGTAACAAATGGACTGTTTGTCATGGATTGTGTTGGGTTTCTTATGTTTTTGAAGCTGTACTCATCAAGGCAAGAAGAGAGTATTTCCTCTTATTCTTGACCTGCGCTTGTAAATGGTAGCCTTTAGGAATTGAAAAGGCAAGTGACAAATAAATCAATCTAAACCACCCAGAAGGACAAGGGCACCACAACCCACAAGGTCTTCTCCAAGCAATACACAATCTTGATTTATACCTGTATCATTGAAGAAACAATGTCACTGGGAATTGAAAAGGCAAGTTGTTCAGTGTATAATAATATTCAGCCTCTGACCTTGTACCAACAGTATTTCTATGGCTGGTCAAATTCAGTTCACTTTCTTGAAACTGGTAATCCCTAGGAATTTTAAATATTTGGTGATGGCAAAGCCATTGAATATCAAGGGGAATGATTAGATTTTGTTGTTAGAGATGATCTTTGTCTGGAACTTGTATAACATGAATGTTACTTGCCATTTATCAACCCAAACCTGGATGTTGTTTGGGTTTTGCTGCCATTTCTGCACTGTGCTTCAATATGATGAATTGTGAGTGGTATTGGACACTCTGCTATCCTTAGCAATGTCCTCACTTCTAACATAATGGAAGTGCTGTGGTGTGACTTGATGAACCACCAGCAGACTCCAGTTACGATTGCTTATTTAGATACACAGAGGGACAACCAGCCTCGGGTAATTCTGCAACATACAATGACCTGCTAAAGAGAGGTCACTGGCTTCAGTTCCTTGTTTCCATGTGTGCATGCACTAGGTATTGTTCTCATCCATGCAGTGCTCATTATCTGCTGACTTTGATTTGTTTTGTTCCTTATCTTTTTTAGATTATATTTGCTCATTTTCTTTACAAAAATACCTTCTAATTGAAACTGTTTCACCCTTCTGGTTCTCTTTGTGCTCCGCCACCCATCGATACCGGCCAGGTATTGAGCTTATGATTGTAAAGATGCTTCATTATATCACATATACATGTTGACCCTTTGATGCGGCTGTTGGCTTAACTGTCTAACCGTCGCATTCCCCATATCCCATACTCACCAACCTCTGTACGTTCTTCTGGTGCAGTAAACCAAATATGTTAAGTATAGAACCAGTACTAATGGGACAATAACCAAAACATTGGAGATGATTCTAATCTGTTGGTCGAGTTGTACATCCAATTCCCAATTGCTTAGGTCCTCCCTGCTTGTTATTACCAAGTGCCCTAGCTTGTCCCTGCTGTGTATTATATGTTCAGTACATTTGCTGGGCCTTCTCTTGAATAACTGTAAAATATTTGAAATTATTGTATTGAAGGACTAGCTCAGATACTGTCCTGTTTTCCTTAATGTCTTGCTTGGTTTATATGTTAAATGTTTCTCTCCTATAGCTTTCCAATAGTTCTACTTTCCCACCTGAGCCAGTACCTGCATGGCTGGTTAAATGACCAGACTAATTGTTCCCATTATTAGTACTTGTGATGAGGTAATGCAGTATTTCCCTATGCCTGGATATGCAATGTGGGTTGGCTCCATTGCATTCTATATAGGTTCTATCAAACAACTGACTGTTGCATTAAACCTGCAGTTTGCTTTTTCTTGTATATTAGAAGTGACACACTACTGAAGGGATTTCTACACTACATCTGTGTAATATCGACCATATTACCTTCTGTCTCTGCTGCATATTACGATCCCTATGCATTAATTCCCCCAATGAACCCAATATTCTCCACTCTATTTAATATCTTAATAGGCATTGACCCTGGTATAACTGAGATTGCCATAATAAAGGTGATTAACGTAGTTAACACATTCCATATTCCATCCTTCTTCTAACATGACAGGTTAAACAAGTGCATTTGTTATCCACAGGAACATCTCCCCCACATGAATTTATCTCAAGGTTTCCTGTGTCTATTTGACATCATTCTTCACTGCATCATCTGAGAAATTTTTCTACATATTGATCTATTTATGCATGATTGTCTGGACCAGTTGCCAAGAACTGATTTACCCATGTCAGATCTTATCTGTATCAAGCAGTTTGTCGTGGATCTCTTGCCTGTTTACCACAGTTTTCTTAAATTGAGAACTTAAGGTATGGACCTTTTGATCCACTATTGCCGAATCAATTGAATTCACAACTGAGATCCCTGTATTCAATGCTGTGGTGACATCATTAGCTTGACTGCGTTTCCTTCAAACGTTTCCCTCAACAGGCTGTATCCAGTTGGCTGCCTTCCACTGTTGGACCAAACCACCTATGTTATCCCATCTGTTTGGACTTGCTTGTTAATTTGAGTAGATGAATGTGTTTTAATTCTATCCTTTTAATTTATGTCAGTTTCTCAATGGACTGAACCTGTGCCTTGCTGATTTTAAAATGTTATCTCATTTTTACTGGCCACACCAAAATTCTCAACATAATATTTCCATTCTTTGAACCAACTCATTTTGAACTAATTTACTACTATGTGATTCTCCAACATCAAGCCATTTCCGACTCTTGTGATCTTATCAAAACATCCTAAGCCGTTTCTTCTTTCTTCAGGTATGGCCATTATGTTTTGGGTGGTTTCCTGAACTCTTGTAACAATATGGAGGTTGACAGCCAAAACAAATCAACCTTCCTACTTGCATGTTTTCAACACAGTAAAAGACTCTCAAAATTTACCCCAGTGGTTCCTCATCAGACTTTTAAAATCACCAATCCCAGACTTTGTGAATAATCAATTCCAAATGTCAGTTTGTAACTTAAACAAAAGATCTGTCAATTTACTAACAATACAATAACTTTAGTAGAGCAAACTTAAATAACAAACTAATCTAACTGGCTCATATTGTAAACTGAAAAATCTTTATCTTCAGCCTCACACAGAAAACGGACAAACACAGTGGAGGGATAAATAAAATAAGAATTGGAATGATTGCTCAAGGGGTTTCCACGATACTTTGTTCCACAGGAATAAATGATTCTTGGTTGATTTTTCTGAAGATGTCAATCAGGGTCACCTTTATAGTTGACTCAGATAAATTCAGTAATACTTAGATAATACTTTTCTATTCTCTGAGCTTCCAAGAGCTATACATGGGAGGTAGGCAAGGAGCTTTCAAATCTTAATGCTGTAGCATGTACAGCCAGATTCTTTTTGCACACAAAACACAGTCCAAAATATTGTTTAAATTCTAGTCCCTCCCTGACAGACTCATTGCCTAGTCCATAAGGTCTCAGTTACCATTCAACATCTGTCATTTGCTTGTGCATAAGGTCTTTTCCAGACTTGCTGGAACCAAATCCCAGGTATTGACTTTGATAATATTCAACTTCTGCTATCTGTTTAAAGATAATGCTCTTGCCCAGGGAGAAAGCATCTGCAGAACCTTTTGATCTGAATCAACCTGCAATTAACTTCCAGGCCTGGCCTCAAATAAACAAAAGCTTATTTCATCTGTTTTTTTAACACAAGCCGTTATCCAGAGTAGAAAAGTCACCTTTATTTTAAAGCTCCTACTTCACAGCTCCAAACCAAAGTTGATTTTAAAAAAAACCCTAAAAGTAATGAAAAATCAGCAAGGGCTCTAACACTATCATTTTTGAACAGAACTGAATTTCATAATGGTGCATATATTTTCAAGAGGAATTGATAAATGCTGGTTGCATTTGCACTTTCTGTTCACTCTGATGTATATAATCCCAAACTGATATATTAAATTGAATTGCAACCTGATAAATCATTCAAAGTTGACAAAACTTCTGTACTAAATGAGGCGTGTCATTATTACCATTTGATTGTATTTGTGAGTCTCAAAGAAATTTAAATGCCTAATCAAGAACTTTTACAGTATTCTTAAAACAGAATTCAAACATTCCTACTTGATTCCAGGCACTAGCATTTTTGCATGCTTGTTCTTTTCAATTTAGATGACATCTCAGTTCTTCAAAAGTAACTTGCTAAATTCCTTCAGACATTTTGCATCTCAACGTTGTTCCAAATTCAAATAACAATGTTGGGAGGCCAACAAGTTTACTTCCATTTTAAATTTCCTTTTTAAACTTTGTTTTTGCAGTTGAAATTGCTCGTGTGTCAATGTCTGTGCCTTTGTTCATTACATTTTAAAGCAAAACTCATGTCCTTCATATGGATGTGAAATTCTTTGCTGTCTGTCTTCTGGAAGAGAAAACAAAGGTGTGTTGTGATAACAAGGTTTGAGCTGGATGAGCACAGCAGGCCAGGCAGCATCAGAGGAGCAGGAAAGCTGATGTTTCAGGTCCGGACCCTT